AGGCCAGCCTGGCCTCAAATTTAAAGCAATCTTCCTGCCTCAGTTTCTAAGTATTAGGATTACCAGCATGTGGCACCATGCCCGGTTAACACTATGGTTATTGATGTATTATTATTTTATCACTATTTTATATCTTTTATATTTTTGTTATGTTTTGCATGTTTAATCCTATTTGTCTGATATATTGTTACCTTGGTATTTCTTTGATTCGTATTTCTCTGGTATACTTTTTTCGAGTCATTATTTTATTCTGTTTCTTCCATTTTAAATGTGCCTGTTTTAGAAAATACTGTTAATCTTAAAATTCAAACTACACATCTCTGCCTTTTAATCATAAAGTTGGATCAATGTGCATTTATTATAATAGAAAGATCTGCCTGTTGCTGGGTTCAGGCTTTTTTTAGTAACTTTTTTTCTTCTTTCCTATGTTCCACTGAATGTAGCAAATTTTTTTGTATTGAACTTGAAAGTTGCCTTTGCATTTTTATTTTTCTGGTGGTTACCCAAAACGAAACATTTCATTTCCCAATTTTCCTAAACATTAGGTGTGGTTAAGCAGAGCAGTAACCTCTGCTCAGTAAAATCCAAGCAGAAGTACTTGTTCAAGGAAAGAAAATAATCTCTGTTTCCCTTGACTTTTCCTGCTACTTTGCTAAAACTGGTAACTAGAACGTGGGCACAAACCCTGGTGTAGTATGGCACTGACATGACTCTATGGCAGCTCTGGGTAGTAATGTGGAAAAGTCCAGAATGTGCTTCTGTGAAGGCCTCCCTGCTTATCAAACTCCTTTTACAGTACTTGAAAAAGAAAGAAACGTAAGTAAGCCATTATTATTAAGGACTTTTCCAAGACACCCAGTTAGACCTAGACCTACAGGGCACTGTTCATTTCATGGAGTTGCTTCCTTTATTGAAAATTCCAAGGCTATCAGGAGGGGAGGTGTTAAAGAGTCTACACCAACTTTCTGGCTCCCCTCTAGGCTTCTTCCACTCCCAACCCCACCTCCACCCAACCCTTCCAGCACTTCTCAAAAATAGAGTCTGAGACAAAAACCTGCAAGCAGTTACTTCACCTCACAGGAAGCCAGGACATTAGGTAAATAAAAGAAGGCTGGGGCTACAGTTCAGCAGTAAAGCATCTGCATGAAGTCCTGGTGGGTTCGTTGTTCTCCAACAGTGGGGTTGAGGAGGGAGAAAGAGGAAGAGATGAGTAAGATGCCAGAGCTAATATTCAGAACAATTCTCAGAATCATCCACCAGGCCAGGACACCAGAGTACTCAATTCATGCACCTGGATCCACGTCCTGTTGGCTAAGAGTGGCTCCAGTGGGTGCTCCATCTGCCCAGGTTTTGGAAGGAGCAGGCCCTCGCACACAGAAGGGTCAGTGGCGGAAATGCTAAAGAGATAGCTTGGTTTGGAGGCAAAGCCCTATGTTGAATCCGAGCTTGCGTAGACCTGCCCACTGCAGCTGCAGCTGCCATTGGAAGTGGGTGAGGGAAATGTGGCACAGGACACCAATTTTTAATGATGTGTGCTTCTGAGATCCATCAGCTTCCCTCTTGTTTCTGTGCCACCTGTAGCACTGCATTCAGGACAGATAGGAACCTTGTAATCCACTAATTCCCCATCATACTCCAAGGACGGCTCTCAATTTCAGAGACTCACTTCTCTCTGAATTCTTTACAATGTGTTTCCTTATCTCTGGTTGCTCTTTATAAATGAGCGAGTCCTTTTCCCAGTCCTTCCATTTCCATTCCCAGTCCTTCAGTGCAGGGAGGTTTCATGTTTTGCCCTAATTCTGTCTTTTTAATTTTTTTCCTCTGACTATACCATTTATTGAACTATCTCATTTATTCTCATATTTCTTTTACTATCTTAAAGAAATGATTCTCAATTTTTTTGTTAGCAGCTCAGATCTTTTAACTTCCCAATCCAAGTTTATTGCACAGAATCACTCCTCTCTACAAAGACCTATACAAACAATCAAACCAAAGATACTGAAAAATTCATCTTATCATTTTCCATCTCCATATTCCTTTTCTCAGTTAATGGCATCTTCATCTAACCGCCTCCAAACCAACAACAGCTTTGATTTCTTCTCAGTCATACTCCATATTAACTGCAAAATTTGGTAGTCATTATCTAATTTTTAAGTCTACCATATCCTACCTAATACTACAGGTTAATAGCTCCTGTGGATTATAATCTCTTTGAACTTCCACAAAAGTAAAAAAAAAAAACAAGATTTAAAAAAAAAAAAAACAACAAAACCTTTCTTTCCGTCTAGTTTTCCTCTTGCCAAACAAACTTGGGAGTTACGAAGGCATGTAGTTTAGGCAAAAGCTTGAAAGTTTGTTATGCAAGCTTTTTTCCTTCCTCTTAAATTCCCAATTTCCTGCTCCACAAGGGACTCTTTCAGCACTCTGGGTGAACTAATTATTTACTTCCGTTCTGTAAATAATATGCGTATGTGACTGCGTGGCATTTCTCTCATAAGCAGTAACTAATGCTTCCCCACCAGAGATGAGGATGTAGCTTTTTTCACACAAAACCACCCACTGCCATCACTGATCCATCCTGTCATTTCCCAGTAGAGCGATACCAGAGCTTTGATGAGAACAATATACACTGTTTATATGATTATGGCTGTATGAATGAGAAGTACAGTTAAACCATATATGATATTATTACTTCTTCCTGCACAGTGTACCACTTTACAATTCTTGGTGCTAATGATCTAGCTTTTTTCAAAATTTGGTTTTCTTTGTAATCTTTATCAATGCAACATCAAACTTTACCCTCATCTGAAAAATTTGCTCACTCGTGTTAGATATTCTGTTTCTCTGTGTTGTGGTCAGGAGTTCTCTGCTGGAAACTTCTGGCCTGCTTTCATCTAGACTGGCTCATGGTTCTCCCAGTTTGTTGGCATTCTGAAGTTCCATTTGACCCCATCCTAGGAATTTTCTTCACTTCTCTCTGTGGTGGGCTCTATTAGCTGTTCCTGAGATCTTTTTGTCTCCTTGGCTTGCTCCCTGAGTTCTGGTGGAACACATCTTCTAGTAGGTTTCTGAGAAAGAGTACAAAGTAACAACAATTTTCAACATCAAGCACACCCAGAATAATTTATCTTCTCCTCACACTTGATTGACACTTTGTCAAGTCTAGGTTGGGACCGTTTACCCCAGAATTTTTTAAGACATTGCCTCTATGCCTATATTGTTGTTGAATGTGTAATGCCACTGTAATTCTTGATTATTTGTATGATTTTGTTTTTTTCTCATTGAAAATATTGTAGGGTCTTTCTCTGAGCCCAGAGTTCTGAAATTTGACAATAATGCCCACTAGAGTAAGTTTATTTTCATTCATATTTCTTATATTTAATGGATGCTTTCAATCTAGAGATTAATGTCTTTCAAATCTAAACATTTATAAAGAACTCAGCAGCTAAATATTTCCCTTTCTTTATCATTGCCAATTATTCACAAGTTGGATTTACTAACTAGGCCCTCTTTTTTTTTTCATTTTTTAATTAGTCTGTTCATATTTGCAGTGCATGTTTACTTTCCTAGGAGTTGGTACACTTACATAACATATCTTAATTCCTTTTGTTCAGTCCATTTCCTTCCCTCTCAACTCCACTATTTCTTTTCTTTCTTTCTTTCTTTTTTTTTTTTTTTTTGTATCAGGAATCAAACTCAGGACCTCATGCTTGCCAGCCAGGCACTTATGCTACTGAGCTGTATTCCCAGGCCCCCCATTTCTTGAACCCCCTTTTTAATGTCTGAAATACATAATGTTTACCACCCTTGTGTGGAGTTGGTATATGTACATATCTAATTTTAAATATGGTTTTTCCTTGAAATTTCTTCTCTACCTTATTTTTGCACTAGCTTATAAGAAACAACCTTAAATTTATTTTCCATCTTTTTTGCATTAGTTTTGTCATTTTATTCTTGATTTCTGCAAGTTTCTTTTTTGTTCCTTAAATGTAGATTTTTAAGCAAAACATCATTTTTGTTTTATGGATGCAGTATCTTCTCTTACCACTTTGAGAATATTATGTTTATCCTTGTTTTATTCTTCATCTCTCCCTATGAAATCAAGCAACTGCATTTCTTCCCAGGTCCTCTCCTCTCCCCCCACCACTCTTCTCTCAGTCCTGGTACCTAATGAGTGTCCCGTTCTTTCCCTCCCTTCCTCCCTCCATTCCTCCTTCTTTCTCTGTGTTTGCTTCTTTTGGTCTCTGTCATTCATGTTACAAGCTTTCCTCTCAGTTTGGATTATCTCCGGGTGTCTGATCCTACTGAGGAAAGTTGTATGATAAAACTGATTGCTCAGTTTTTAAAACAGTTTTAAAACATGCTCAGATCATGTGCATGGAGCTGGGGAGGGGGGTTCTCTTTGTATCTTTAGGTCCTTTCTCTTCAACTACTCAGATTCTTCAGAGGAACACTCCTATCTTACTCTTGGAGGGATCAAATTAACCTGTGTGTTCTGAAGGACAGGAGGACGATGAGGTTGGGCTGGGTTTCTCCGTATTTATAATGCTTACTTTCACTGTATCCTCTTCCAGCCCCTACTCCCAATATGGACCCTCTTTCCTCCCTGGGAGCAAGTCTCTAATCCTGTATCAGGATTGGAAAGGAGTGACAACCAACCCTGTAGACTAACTCTAAACAAACTTTGAGTCCATCCGGCTGTTTTTGGTCCTACTTTTACCACTCCTCCCAGAAGCACCTAATGCTAACAATTCCTGAGCTGTGACAGGTTCTGTGAACACAGTCAAATATTACTTTGGTTCCTGGATTTCTTCATTGTTGCCTTAAGATTCAAGCTTTCTTTGTTCAGCCACATCAGTTAACCCCTTTACAGACAGTTTCCAATGCCTGAAATTCTGTTGCCTTTTTTCTCCCTATTTATTTGTCCTTTTGGGTTTTATTTTGACAAATCTTTACAGTTATTTTCTTGTTGCTGAGACATATAACACAACATCCACAAATTAAAGAAAGAAAGGTTTATTTTGGCTCACAGTTTATAGAGGTTTCAGTCCATAGTTTGCAGACTCTGAGACAGGGCAGCATGGCAAAAGACAAAGAACTCCTGGAATGCAGTAGGGAACAGACAGACACGGAGAGACAGATATCCTAAGAGGAACAGGGAAAAAAAGAGACTCAAGCCACATCCCCAGTGACCCATCTCTTCAGACCAGAATTCACATTCTAATAGCAACTTAGCTATTAACTCCGATGATGTAGTCATCTTCGAAAAGCCCACTTCTCAGCCCATAAGGCACTGGGGGAACATTTTAGATATAAACCATAAAAATTCCTTTTACTGTCATTTCAGAGAGGTTTGGGAAGAGAATGCTCCAAACTTATACTACATCCTTCATCAGAAGTCTACCAGGCTTTGGAAGCTGGTATCTAATTCTTGTTTTCTCATTTTTCTCAACTCCATTTTAACTGGGCTTTACTTTTTTAGGTTTTTTGTGTCTTCAATTGATTAAACTCACTTAATTTTGGAAAAGAGTTTAACAAATTAAGTCATTCTGAGGTTTTTTTGAAAAAAAAAAACAGGGACTAAATGTCTTCATTGACTTACGTAAAAGGAAGAAAGAACTGGAGTTCTAGTTGAGAAATTTCAGAAAAACAAACCTACTGGTATGTGCTTTGGAGGTCTGTGGAAGCCCCTCTTGCGTTTCCTCAAATCACAATTTGCTGATATAGGCTGGACCGTATCCACATATCAGGCTGACAGTGATGTGTAGGGCCAGGCATTCTAGATTGAGAATAAGAAACAGGAATATCTTCTCAGTTACAATACTACCCCAACTGTATATCTTCTGGAAATTAGATATGAGGTAGTGAATCCTTCGTATTGATATTAACCTAGAGCAAAACATAGATTTTATTATGTTTAAAATAAGTATACAATGATAGGCATCAAATGCAAACAACTCAAGCCTCTTTTTTAATTATTTATTTTTATACTCACTTATACTTTATTTGCATTGTATGAACAATTCCATGGATTCCCATTCCCTTCAGTATTCGATATTGTCAGGTTCTTAAGTTTTTCAATTAAGAAATTATAAAATGGTACCTCACTGTGATCTTAATTTGTTTCCCGCTCATACCTTAATCACTTTCCTCACTGTTGAAACAAACACTCAACACCCACAGTCTAAAGGAAGAAGAGCTTATTTTGGTCTGTGTTTCAGAAGTTTTAGCCTTTGTGTGGACGGCAGCATGGTGGAATGGCTTGGGCAGAGGAAACCTGCTCACCTCATGGTGGACAGGAAGCAAAAAGCAAAAGGAGCTGGGGAGGATGATATGTCCTTCCAGATCATGTCCCCAGTGACTATTTTAAACAGACCTCCTTATAGAATTAGTGGTTACAAGGCATTATAAAAAAATACCATATGAATACATGACAATTAGACCAGGAAAATAATTATGGTTAATAATATGACTAACCATTTTAAACTATGTGAATAATAACTATGAACAGTACATATTCTTGGTAGAAGCAGGAAGAAGGAGCCAGAATTTGGTAAGGTGCACATTTCAATGTTTAGCAAATGATAGAGGATGCTTCCTGCATCCTGGAGGCTAGACTACAACAAAATGAAGGTTGATTTTATCTGGCATTCGGTACAAGCAGGAATATGCAAAACAAAAATAGGGGGAAGGACTAGTTGGTATCTTCCTTAAATCTAGATTTCTGACCCTATTATTTTATTAAATACTAACAAGGATAATAAATGCTTATATACCCCCTACTATGACGTAGACACTATTAAAATGATTTACATTTATTAATTAATTCTCACAACCACTTCAGGAATTGTCGTTTTCCTCTTTGTACAGATGAAGACTTTAAAGCCCAAAGAGGTTCAATGATTGTGGGCAAATAGCAGAACTAGAATGTGAACAGACTACCAGCTTCTGAGCCTGCTCTCTTAACCCCACTCTACACGGCTGAGACTTTTTCTAGCTTTACTCTGTTCAATTAATGCAATTACAAACACATATTTTCATTATTTAAATCACCTTATCAAGAACTTGCTGGTTTTTTTTGTAAAACAGTGATTAGCATAAAACAAAGGTCTCCAAGTTTTTGTCAAGTCTATTAACTCGACTTAAAATTGCCTAGCCTGAATTAATTTCTTTGATGTTTGACTAACAGTTGTATGGTATTTTACAAAGCTTTCATGTAAGCGCGCCTCGTACACTGACTGATGATAAATCTACGCATTTTGTAGAATCCTTTCTGACTCTGGCCCTCACTCATGTTTTTCCCATGTCATCCGATAATTAAATTGAAAATGTTACACCGAATTGCCACACCTACCAAACATGTAATAAATTATAATACTGAATCACTTAACTGAACCATCCCACCACTAGTCTATCTGGGACTTTCTGTTTCAATGGTGAATATCAATAATAATCTGTCCTACAGCCAGCAAAGCCATGTGGTCTGCAGTGCTTGATTTGTTCAAACTCCACATTTAAACCCAATGTCCATGTTTGTTTTAGGAATTCAGTTTTGGGGTTTTTTTCTTACCAGCCTTCCAAGTCCTTAGAAGACAAACCTCCCACTGTTGTATGCATTTACAAAAGACCGCGTTTCCCTACGAACTCGTCACATTACTTCCCCTGGAAAAACCAAACCGTGACAATGGCTGAAGGCCGCCGGGGCCCCTGGCACCCCAAGCAGCGGCTCCACCCCGGAGTCCTAGGCCTGGCCCGGCGTCCCCGGCCGCAGCAGCGCCCCCTGCAGGCCGCGGTGCGCAGCGCGGGCGGAAGGAACCCGAGCCTCCTGCTGCTGCCACGGTGTCCGAGCCGCCGCTGCCGCCGCCGCCGCCGCCGCTGCCGCCTCCGCGGGAGCCTCAGGGGCCCGAGTCCGCTCTGACCGCAGCCCCCGGCCCAGCGTCCACGGCCACCCGCGGCCCGACCCTGCAGCGGCCGGGCCGGACCCGCCTCGGCGCCCCGCTCGTGCTGCTCGCTCGCCCGCGCCGGCCTTCACTCTGGAGCGGCCCCGGCAGCCGCAGCAGGGGCGGCGGCGGCGGATCGAGGAGCTCTCCAGGTCGTCCCGGGAGAGGCTGCTGCAGTCCCGGGACAGGATGTTCTCCAAGTTCACCTCCATCCTGCAGCACGCCGTGGAGGCGGTGAGGCCGCGGGAGGGCCGCGGTCGGCGGGCTGGGAAGGCGGCGGCCTAGCTCCGCGCCGGCGGGGAGTGGGCACCGCGGCCACCGGGGCGGGACGGGGCGGGTGGAGGCGAGGCCGGGGGCCGCGGCGGGGCGCGGGCAAGGCCAGCGGCGGCGAGCGCGGGGTCCCCGGGACGACCGCCCCATCGCCTGGGGTCGGGGGCACCTGGCTGGCCGCGGGGAGTCCCCGGGCTCCTGACCCTTGACCCCCGGGAAGCAGTGGCCCTGGTCGAGCAAGACAAAAGAAACGGCAGGGTCGGGGTTTGGTTTGCGTGTGGGAGCCAGTGGAGCAGAGGTGCGGGCTGGCGGTGGGGAACTCGGGCGAGGACGCAGCTGGCCGGACCCGTTTCATAATCGTGCTGGCTTTTGCTTCCTCGGGCCTGGCGGCCCAACTCGGCTGCACCTTATCGATCCATCTGCAATAGGAGTTGCGAGGTCCGAGCCAGTGTGCTTTTAGCAGCTTTCACGCTCAGGCCATCTGCTGCTTTTTTTTTTTTTTGTCTTAATGCTCTTCCTGGACGCTCTTGGTTTCTCTTCCTGGAGGGTTAGACGCTAACAGAGAGACAGACAGTATTCAAATATCATAATAAGAGACTAAAGAGAATGCTTTGCCGCTGTTGTAGTGGTAAGAGGGATAGTCGTGTTATGTCAGTTGTTTACTTTATTCTGGGAGAATTGCCCAAATTGAAAAATGCACTCTGCAAAGCAACTTTACTTTAAAAATAGTATTGTCTTTTGATGTTTAGGTTATGTGATAGAGTACTTTAAAATCCACAACCAAATGATTTTCTTACGGCCAGATGACAAAAATAGTTTTATTTCAGTTGTAAAAACAAAGCCTGAGGGCACTTTTATTTAAGTGATATATGGGAAATGTTAAAAACAAAGTTTAGCTCTAGCCCAGGACCTTTGGAAACCTCAAGAGAAGGGTGTCATAAATGAAGAAGAGTTATTACCCATGAGGAGATGACTATTGTAGACACAGCTTTTAGTTTTATTTTCTTAGTCACAGTCTGCAGCATCATTATGTAAAAGAATTTAATCAAAATTTATAAGAACAGTAATATTTATATTTTGTACTGTTTTTCTCGTACTGGGAATCAAACTCAGGACCTCGCACTTGCTAGGCAGGTCCTTGCACCACTGAGCAACATCCTTGGCCCTTGTATTCTTCTAAAATGTAGAGACTATTTTGGCTTCTAATAGTGCATATTGCTTAAATATTACGATAATTGGGAATGCAGTTTTACTACATTATTTATGGCCTTTACCTGTCAGGTTGGTGTTTACAGAAATGTGTGATTGGAAAGGTGGTTTTGCCACTCATCCTGTTTAGACTCATTTTTGTTCTGAGGCCTGTGTTTCCTGTCCTCATAATCTTTTTATCTCTGTGCATATTATTAGCATTTGCCAGATTATCCGTGTAAATTCTCTGCCTTCACCTCTGCCTCTCTACTGCCCAGGCTCCCTCCTATGCGGAGGCTAGTGAGAAAAAGTGCAGGTAGGGTATGTTCACCTGGTCCTGGGAGTCAATGTGTTGTCCTCTTTAGAAATGTGATGTTTCCATTGGCTCATCAGTAGTTTTTCCGGCTATTGTTTCCTCCCCAGTTCACCATGAAAGGCGATAAAAATTTCAATGTATTCTATATCTTTTTTTCCTTTTAACATTCTCTCTTGGGAATGAACGTAGATATGATGATAAAGCAGCCATCCTGTGGGATTTAGAGAATGGTTGTTCATAACCCAACCTTAGTTTCCAGTTATCGAGTGTCATACTTCTTTTACTTGGTGCTTTTTTCTATCAACTAATCATATTATATTATTTCTCCGATCATTAGCTTCATACTCCTTTTCATTTCTGACGCAGTATTCCAAGTGCTGTGGCTCCCAGGGGTACGTGGGAGGTGACCTTGTACCTACAGGGTGACGTGACCTTTGTTGTCTGTGTGTGTCTGCAGTCAGGCTTTCCCAACCTTTTGCTCTGACCAGTCTGTGGGTTTCAGTATTCACCTGCATCAGGCCTTCACATGTTTAAGGTTGACCAAATTCATCTTCTTTTAAGTGAAGTTAGATGATGAGTTGCCCTTATCATGAAATGGTTTTTATTCACTTCATGTTAAGTTCTTACATAGAGGAAAATATAACCAAGTTGTTTTCAAAGATTGACTTTGAAAAATGTGTTTTTAAGCTGTCAGACATTAAAAGTATAGGAGAAATCCATACTTGATCAAAATTAGAACTGTAGTATAATTGTTGCTTCCTTTTCAGAAGGACAATTGTCCCAAAGTGTAGAAATGATTGACTGCTAAGAGCGGTACCAAATGAATGTTTTCTGTTACCCAGGTGCTGCTTGTCTCAAGTCTGAAGTCAGGCACTCTAGGAGACCGAGGCAGTAAGAGGCAGCTGGGGCAATTCAGTGACTTGTTAAGACTCTGTTTTAAAAGAAAAAAAAAAATTGTTTTATAAGGTTTCAGGATGTGGCCCAACACAAAAGTTCTGGGCTCAAGCCCCATTACCACCAAAAAAAATTTCTGAATTAGGTCAAATTATTTTAGCACTTTTCCAAAAGGATAAGTAGCACTTTCCATTTCACAAGGTTTAGGATTGGTTGAGGGCCAGGTGATGTGCCAGAGGCTCTTTCTTCTTACATTCCAGCAGGCCAACCCTTCAGGCCCATTAATTCTGGAGACCGAAAAGGCAATAATGTCAAAGACGTTTTCATTCTTCTTTTTAACCATTCAATGAAAGTCATCCTTTAGAATTCAAATGCAATGTTCTGTCTTCCAATAACAGAGTTAATTAGTGATGATTGCTGGGACTAGCATTTCTTCTTGCTGCCTGGGAAATTAACCTCAGACATCCAGAACATTTTAGTTATCTCTCCCAAGACCTTCTATCTGAACCCAAGACCTTCCCACAGAGCTACATCTCCAACCCTTTTTAAATTTTTTTTACTTAGAGACATGGTCTAAGTTATAAAACTGACTAAGCTGTGGTGAAACTTGGAATCCTGCCTCAGCGGCCCAGAGTGCTGGGATGACAGGCATCTGCCATCACCTCATTGTTCCCTTAAATGTGTTTTTTTCCAACAAGTGATCTCTCTAACTTCAACCCTTTTCTCATTCAGCAAATGTTTTATGAGCTACAATGAAAGCATAGCACACAGCTAAGGAAACAAGGTACCATATATTTGTGTCCGTGATCACAGTGCTTTGGGAAACAAATCCGTAAGTTAAATCATAAAGAACACACAAGAACGTGACGTAGCCTCTAGTCAGAGAGAATACAGCTGTATTCTGCCTGTGTCACTTATGTGCTTGGACAGTGATCAAATCTTTGTACATCTCCATTTCCTCATTATACAATGGAAGTAATTATGATACTGCAGGATGGAACCCAGAGATAAGAAGCTAAGTTCTTGGGTAGGGTGAGCAAAGAATTGCATGTGTACATTCAGTGGCCAAAGAAAAAGCATTTACCTTTGTTGACACCTCTCATTGGCTCTCAGGATAAGATTGACAGAGTGATTGATGGGGTGCTGAGTCATGTGAGAGGCACCAAAATACCCATGCCTCTCCCAGAATTCACTCTGATTAAATTACCTGAGACCATCTGTGTGGACCTTTAAGGAGATTCCAGTGGAGAAAAGGTTACTAAAGGTTAAGCTGCAAGACCTAACAGGCACATTGTGCTCTGACCTGGAGTTTGAGAGAGTTCTTCAGTCTTTGTTATTTTTATTTTCGATTTTTCTTAGAAAACTGGAAAGAGGATTGGCCTGAGTTTTTGCCCATATTCTGGTGAATGGTGGAAAAGGGGTCTCCCAGCCCAATTGTGCTACCGGTGCTAATGAGATCCATTTCATAGGGTTGTTGTAAACATTACAGCAATTGCTTAGTCCAGTGCCTGGCATCCAGTAAGAAGGTGTTCAGCAAATGGTAGGTGATCTTTGCTACTGAATTGACTGGTTCAGCCAGGCCAGTGCCATCCGTAGGAGGAAGGGAACACAGGCACTTTGTAGGAATTGGGAATATTTTCTGGAGCAGATTGAGACCAGCTAGGTTATGGAGCCTAGTGAAGACATGGAAGGGAGTTTAAATTGACCGTGGCTGGGTGTGGTGGCACATTCCTATAATCCCACAAGTTTGGGAGGCTGAAGTAGGAGGATTCCAAATTCCAGCACAGCCTAGGCAGTTTGGCCATTTAGCCAGATACTATGTCAAAAAAAAAATTTTTTTTTTTAAATGCTGGGGATGTAGCTTATTGGGAAGGCCCTATGTTCAATCCCAAGTACAAGGGGAAAGAAAGGGAGGAAGGAAGAAAGAGGCTGAAAGAAGAGACATTTTTAATTAAAAACAAACAGAATATGCATGATTTGTGAAGCAGTTAAAGCAGAAGGGGCTGTTAAACACTAGTTGTTAATCTGAATTATCCACGTAGGTTTTTTGCATATTGGGCATTTTGAAGAAAGTCCTGGTTTCTGGTTAAAAGCTGTGTTTCCTGGGGCATGTCAGTGTGCTGCTTTGGGACCTTGATAGGAGTTGGAGCAATGTAGGAGTTTATCGAGAGAATTTAAGCCCATGTAGTCAGCATGCGGAAGTTTGTGGCCTGCACGACACGTGGTGACTCATTGCCTGCCAGTGAGTGCTGGACCTCGCATCTCTTCCTTTAATATTGTTGACTACTTTGTGCCATCTCTGGATTGGAAGTAGGAGATCAAATGCTGAAAAAGATGACGCCATCCTGGGACAGTTCTGGGACAGTTCACAGTCTAGTAGACCAGATGGGTAGTTACAGTGACGCAAGTGGAGTGCAGGTTAGGAGAGAGGTCAGACTGGTGGATGGTGCCTTGATGTGGGAGGGTCAGACTGCCAGGAAAGCTGGTCTCAGTTAAGCGTTCTGTCATCTTTGGTAGAGATAGCAATTGCATGGATTTTAAAGAATTTAATCTCAGTGTGGTAAAAAGTGAAATGGGTGCTCCTGGTTCTGACTGGTGCATCTCTTTCTTTTTAAAGTATTTTAAGCCCAGAGCATAAATGGATTTATGCAATGATAAAATAGATGATTTATGTGTTAGAATTAGTCCAGAAGGTAATTTTATGAGGCAGTTTAAAAGAGTTAAGGACATTTGCTGATGCTTGAGTAAGATTGTGACAAAGCTAAATTAGCAGTTTATAGCTGTTTAGCTATCTGGCTGGGGAGAGGAGTGCAGTACAGAAGATTAACTAACCCATATGCTTTGAGTTTGGCTATAACCTGTGACGAAGGTCTCAGCACTTGACTGAGTGACACACCCTCAAAGTATAGTTAAGACCCACTGGAGAAATAACCTGGAAAAAGGATGCTGTAGTTCTATAAAGACCTAGGTGGTTCCCCTGGGAAATTTTAGCAGAGCACCTCATTTATGCTTCAAAAAATAGGTCACGTCTTGAAAGAGTAAATCCCATTTGTGTTTGTCCCACTTATTTGTGTATTTAATAGTATAATGATAGTCCATAAAAGCTAGAACCAAAAACTAGGGAAATCTTGTGTATTTTGAAAACAAGTAGCTCACTAAAAGATTTTTAACTAAAAGTTTCCAGAATGATTATTCTGTTTTCCCAAGTTAATATGTACTTTCATTCTTAATTTTCTTCCTAAAATTTTTCTGTTTCCTGTAAGTCTTTCTCTCTCCATATTCTTCTTGAAGTATGGAGAAGTTTTGACTCATTTCTTAAAGTTTTTAAAACGGATTTCACAGCATTCTACTGTAAAATAATGTAAATATTTATATTTTCTTAACCCAGTGTATTCAGAGTAAGTGCAAATAGGCAAGTGTTGAAGACTTAGCATTATGATGTTGATTGTTGAAAGTTTTTAGTTTTTTTTTTTTTAGAAGTACATTTCATCATTTGGATTGAGACACGTATGATGTATGTGACCAGTGTTTACAGTTTACACAATAACTTGGAAATTGTTTGGAGAGGGTTGTCAACTTGGAGGTCACTGCTAAGAAGTCAGACTGGAACACGAAGAGGTCCAGGAGTAACTTGACCTGCTTTAGGTCATTTGCAGAAGAAGCATATGAAAATGGAAAATTACTCTGCCATATCTTATGTTCTCAGAACAGAAACCTGTTTGCTTTGAACTAAGCAGGGTCAACTCTTACTTTCTGACCAGAGTGGATTGATGACATCAGAATAGAGGCACTCTGGCCCTGACTCTTTTTAAGGAAAAGATTTTTGCAAGCTTTTTTCTCTCTGACACACATGGAGAATACTTGTTAGTTTGCAGAGAGATAGCTGAACAGATACAGTTTTGGCCTTAAAACTTGGGCTCTGAGTCTCAAAGCTTAAACTGTAAAACATGTTTCACTTTGTGGGATTTAACTTGGTAGGGCCTTGTTTATACAGTTATTTTGCTGAAAATATGCACTGCCTAATCCAGACTTAAGTGGGAAAAGATTTACATTGATATGTCATGGAAAGTAGGGAACACATTAATCTGATTATGATATTGATTTTGCCACATGTTTACTAGTGGTGATGTGTAACCATTTGCGTAGCTGACAACCCTTGCTGTTTTGTCTTTCAAAGTCCTAGGTGCAAAGATCTCTGGCTATCAGTAATTTCATTTTACTGATACTTCAGTGATAGAATATTGTTGGTACTTCAATAACAGAATATTGCTGTTTTTTCAATATAATTACTTTTGAAGCCACAATTATAGGGAAAGGGAAAAAAGCCCAATACTGTAGTTTAATAATAATGTTGATAAATGTATATTTTCTGTTTCATAATAAATCATTTTTACTTTGGCTTCAGCATAGTGTGTTTCTCTTTGACATCTGACACACACAATCAAGTTAAAGTTCAACCCATATTTTTATGTTGCTTTTGTAGCATAATGGACAAATACAGAGTTGTACTTTATGGAAAGCTTGTAATGTCATGTAATTAATTATTGTGATCTTTTTGTGTGTATTTCTGTAGCTTGCACCCTCTCTTCCTTTACAAGAAGATTTTGTTTATCACTGGAAGGCAATTACTCATTATTACATAGAGACTTCAGGTAAGTAAAAATGATGATTATCAATTAATTCAACAGAGAATTTGTAAAATAATAAAATTTATTTCAAAGTAAATTTTAAAAGTTATTTTATATTTAACTTCAAACAATTTTAACTTTTAGATTCAATTTTATTTATTTAATAATATATCTAGGGAGCATCTACTATGTGTCAGGCATTGTTCTCGGCACCAGGGATAGAGTGGTTAGTCAGACAGGCAGCATCCCTGTGCTGATGGAGCTTATAGATTGATTTTGGAGAAGGGAAACAGTTAATAGATGAATGCAGAAAGTATATAATCTGAGAAGTGTTAAGTGGAAGGGGGAGAAAATTCTGTATTTGACAGATGGGGATAGCAATTGGCTACTTGAGGTAAGCGAAAGTTAAACTGCTCAAAGTGACTTCTGCACTGAAATCTAAATGAGAGAGGCACCAAACTTGCTGAAAAAGTCAGAAATTGTCCAGGGAGAGCATGAGGATACTAAGAACTCAAGAAAGCCTCTGTGTCTTCAGCAGAGTAAAAGAGGAAAAACCTGGTGGGTGGTGAAGTTAGACAAATGCTGTGGTGGTCGTGGTGGAGGCACAGATTCACCCAGAGACGTGCAATCCATTGTAAAGGCTTGAGCTTTTCTCTATAGTAAGAAGCCTTTGAAGGGATTTGAGTACCAAAACCCCTGTGGAGGGTTCAGGCATCCCACCCAGCAATATGGACACAAAAGAAAGACAAAGAGAGGAAGTTCTGCAGTTGAGGAGCTCTGGGATGCCCAGTGTTCTCTGTGGAACAAAAGGCCATGAGCTACCAAAAGGTAGGTGGTGGTCACGGCAGAGCACTAGGAAAGAGAAACTTTGCAGGTATTGGCTGTAAGGAGAAACAGCAGTTTTGTACTAGGCACAAAGACCCTCCAAATAGCAAAGCAAAGGATAGCTTGATTTGCAAAACTGGCACCTTTACTGCTAGGAAGATATAATTTCTTTTGAGAACCATGGCCTCAGCTGAGATGTTATCTCATATCTTAGCCCTGGAATTGCACAGGCGTTTGCTTGAGCCCCCATTCTAGCCATGGGGTGGGGGGGAAGGGCAGTGCAATTCTCACCCAAGTGCTGCAGAGAGACACACTGGTGTCTCAGCCAGACATTCTTTTAGCTTATTAAGGGACCATCTGGTTCGATATGGCCAACTCTGTACATCTCAGTGAATAGGGTTGAAGTAAAGGTCAGGAAAAAATGAAGGCGGGAGCTTCGTTTCTCAGGAGAATGCAGCGTGGCGGTCTCTCACAGTTGAGTAGAGCTATAACGTAATCTGTATATTAAAGCAATCACTTTGGCTTTTGTGAGAAAGAAAAAATTGAAAGGATAGCGGTTTAGAGCTGGCAGAAGAGTTAGCAAACTGTTACAGTGGTCTAAGCAAGAGATAATGATAGGCTGGGTATGGTGGCACATGCCTGTAATCTCAGCTACTAGGGAAACTGAAGTAGGAGGATCACAAGTTCAAGAGCAGCCTGGGCAGCTTAGCAAGAGCCTTAGAAAAGGATGAGGATATTGTTTAGTGCTAGAGCACCCCTTGGTTTCTTCCCTAGTAGTGGGGGTGGGGGTAAAAGTGGTAGCTTATACTAGGTAGAGCTGGTAAGAAATGATTGTATTCTGGATGTAGTTTAAAGGAAGGCTGATAGCTTGAATTTTGGGTATGTAGGAATATGTAAGTAACTAAAGTTTTAGGCCTAAACAAGAAAAATTAGAGGTGTCATTACTGAGTACTGAGTACTACAGATTTGGAAGAAGGTTTTGCATGTGGTAAGTTTGAGGTGCCAGTTATCTGTCCAATTGGGTATGTCAGAATACAAACTAGACAGGAAATTTAAGAGTCATCAGTATGTAAGGAGGGTTTAAAACTGAAATCGGAAGAGATTTCTAGGAAAGGAGGAAAAACAGAAGAAATAGACTGTACAGGACCACCGTTAGATTTAGCGTTCAGAGGCTGGAGGAAGAGAACACTAGCAAAGGAGCTACTTTTATTCAGGAGAGGAGACAGCAGGAGAGAGTGCCAGAAGAGTGAGAGATTAATTGTATCAAAGGTTGCTAAAGACTAAGAACGGGTCACTGCACTTAGCCACAGAAAGCTCATTAGTTTCTTAGCCAGGAATGGTGGCACATACCTGTAATCCCAGCACTTGGGAGGCTGAGGAAGGAGGATCATTATGAATTCGAGACCAGCCTGAGCTACAAAATGAACTCAGGGCCAGTCTCTACTGTATAGCGAGACCCTGTCTCAAAAAAGACAAGAAAAATTAGTTTTCCTGATAAAAATCCATTTTAATGGGAGGGAGGAAGGAAGAAGTCTAATTGGAGTAAGTTTAGGAGGAAGTGGAGGGAACATGAGTGGACCAGGTGTGTAGACTGTCTCTCGAGTGTCAGTGTAAAGAGGAACTGAGGAAGAAGTGGCAGCAAGAAAAGGTTTCGAAATATTCTTTATAGATGTAAGATATTGCAGTTTGTAACTCGATAGGAGCAATCTAGTAAATGACGCAAGAATAAGATGAGATGACTTCTTCTGCATCAAAACAAGAGGGAAAGAATGTAAGTGCAGGAAGAGGCAGATATGGGCAGAGGTCAAGCTGTTATGTTCGGTTGCTTGTTTTTCTCAGTGAATGAAAGGACAGAGAATAAATAATGAGACTGTGGGTAAAGTAGGTCAAGGATGGCAAACTTTTCCTTTCTAGGGACGGATAGTAAATATGTTGGGTCTTAAAGGCCATGTAGTCTGTCTTGCAGCTGTTCAAATCCACTGTTTTAATGCAACAAAACTCCAAGCAAAGAGATTCCTGGGCTTCAGTAGAACTTCAAACACCGATGACAGGGCTGAGTTTGACTTGTGTGCCGAAGACCTTGGAAATAGTGATATGTGGTGCCTCGCTGTGTGGCAGTACAGGTTCCCCTGAGGAACATGTTGGCGAACACCGGTGGACGTGCAGAGCAGACACACGTCAGCTAACAAAGTGGGAAAAGTGAGAGTAGTTAAAAACACAAAACCTTTATAGTTAAGCAATAAGTAACAGTTGGACAGAAAAAGACGGAAACCTTGAAAGATGAAATACAGTTTTAACATCTCTGGTGTTTAGCCAGCAGATCTACAGAAATGTCTTTTAAGAGGAGCTGCCTTTTCAAATTACTCTTCTTAGCTCTTGTGATTTTTTTTCTTCTTTTGAGACTTTAAGAAATGCACAGGTTCTTTTTTAAAAGATTTTTTTCTCCATCTAGTAGCAGAAATAAGTATATGCATTACAATGAAGGGACAGGGAACAAAAGCTGAGTCAGATAGTGTGAAGTACAGAAAGAAGGAAGATGGAAGAGATAGCAGGCATTGTCTGATCTGGGCTGTAAAGGATGAACAGGAGTTTGTAAAGTAGATGAGCTTAAAGGCATTGGAAATAGAAAGCATAGCATATACATAGAACATTGATAGCTTAGAAATCTAGAGTGAAGAGAGGCTTTTAAACCTGTCAAAATAAATTCACACTTAATGTTTTTCTTAAGTCTTAAACATCTGAAGGCTGGGGATTTAGCTCAATGGTCCAAATACTTGACCAACAAGCACAAAGTTGTGAGTTCAGTCCCCAGTACCAAAACCAAACCAAAACAAGGAATCTGATCATTTTCCTCCATAAATAATTGTATTCAAACCAGTATTGAACATTCATTCTTTCCGCAAATGTGTGTGTATATATTTCATTTACAAGAAGAAAACATTTTTTTTTTTAAGTGCATTATAAGCAGACTTACCAGATACCTTTTTTTAGCACGAGACTACTCAGAAGAATAATATAAAATGAGACCTAAGAAGTTGGTATTTCTTGAATTTTCACTGTGTGGACTTTCCGTATATTTCACTGAGGTCATGCGACACATATACTCTTGTGCATCAGCTCTGTGTAATAGATGTTGATGATTAAGGCTTAAGTAATTTGTACCAGGTCATCCAACTAAAAGTGAGAGCCAAGATTTGAATCCAAGTTGTGTAATAGTGCTATACTTTGAACAACCGTCTCAGACTTTGTCATGATGGATATGCGTATATGGCTAGGAAATCTGTTAAGCTGAGTATACGGTTTATTCTGTGTGTACACCCACAAGTGCACGTGTACAAAGCAGCGTATCACTAAATAACGTACTCCGATTGTGTTGCACAGGTTGTAGAAGTACTGAGCAAATGCCGGTGCAGCCATAAGAAAGAACTTGGGATCTCCTAATGTATTTTGTATTCAGATGGTTTATTAAACTTCACAGTTTATTAAGAATAATTTAAGGGCCAGGGATTTAGCTCAGTGGCATAAGTGCCTGCCTGGCAAGTATGAGGTCATAAATTCAATCCCTGGTACCAAAGGAAAATAAAAGAATAACCCTTATACGGCACGAGGAGGTTGATGTAGTTTTCAAGTTGAAGTGTGATGTGTTTCAAAATACCAATAACCTTTTCACTTTTAAAAATCTGTAATATTTAATAAACATTCTCCTGAGAGTCAACTTTGAAAAAACAGCTTTAGGTACAGCTAGTATTAATAGGAGGAGGTGGCAGAAGGTTTACCAGCAGGGTCTCCTTTTGGTTCCTTGTATTTTTATAGATGGCGAGAGATTGAGAGCATCAAATGACTGTCTTCCCAGTGCCGGGAGGTGATGTAGTAGAATTCAAAGACAGAACCAGTCCTTTCCATTTATCTTGGGCTACTCAACTCAGTGTTCAAGGGTAACCAATGTTTATACTAAGAAACTAAAAATTCAGATCTTCGGAACTGGCTAAGTAAAAAAAAAAGTTTAAAAACTTTTTAAATATATAGAGAAACTTGATGTTTACATTTTTTTCTAATCATGTTCCCATAAGCGGCTTTTAGTTCTAAATTATTATAGATGAATATTAGCTAGAATATATTTCAGAGTATTGATTCAGTTTTTGAATAATGGCAAAAGCATCTTCTTAATTCTTGCAAAGATAATCTTACAGGCCAGGGATTTAGCTTAGTGGTGTAAGCACCTGCCTGGCAAATGTGAGGCTGTGAGTTAGTCCCCGGTACAAAAAAAAAAAAAAAAAGATAATCATACAGTGTGTGTGACATGTTACATAACTGTCCAGGTTTTGGAATGAGACCAGGAAAATATGGATAGTGTTTTATGTGCAAATAGGCAGTTTTAAAATATTTGAGTATTGGTTTGATAAATATTTTTCTATTATTTAGATGATAAAGCCCCAGTGACTGATACAAACATTCCATCCCATCTGGAACAGATGTTGGATATACTGGTTCAAGAAGAAAATGAACGGGAATCTGGAGAGACGGGGCCATGTATGGAATATTTACTCCATCACAAGATCTTGGAAACTTTATATACCTTGGGGAAAGCTGATGTAAGTTCTTAATCTGCCCATCCCCTTGGGTATGCAGTGGGTGCAGTAATGCCTCAGACGTAAGGAAGCTCCCAAGTACTTCTGTTTTTCTAGAGGCACACATTGCACATGGCATGACTCCAGTTAAGATTAGGGGCGTGGATGGAGTCCCCTGTAGAGCCCTGACATCCACAGAGATAGCAAATGTCCACAATGCCCTAGGACAAAAAGTGATATGGAGGCTGCTGAGAATTTCAGTGTAAATGTTTTTGAAAATGAGTGCAAGCATATCACTCTCAGAATCAAAGGAAATGAAAACCTAATGACAGCTGGTTTACAAAAATCATTTTTTATTGTTTTGAAGAAGAATGTCACTGATTATTCTGATATTCAGTGAAAGAATGAACAGAATCAATTAAAACTTTTAGGCTTAATGAATTTAGAAAACTCTTTGAAAACGCTCGTATATAAATAATATCTTGCACCACAAAACTTCCAAGCTATGTTCATGTATCATTTAATGACAAGAGTACGCTCTGAAGAATGTGTCCTTAGGTGATTCTCTGTGTGATCATAGTGTGTGCTTACACAAACCCCAGTGGAAGCGCCTTCTGCCTTGAGGCTGTACACATTACTGTGGAGTAGGCACTTCTGGCACCATGATCAGTATCTGTGGATCTGAACATATCTAAATACAGAAAGGTACAGAAAAAGTAGGTGATAGGAAGTTTTGGCTCCATTGTAACTTACTGGACTATCCTCATATACGTGGTCTGTCTCTGACCGAAACCTTATGCCATGCTGACTCTCCTGGAGAGACGAAAGTTTTCAAACTGTGAGGTAGGACTAGGAAATACGGTGAAACAGACACGTTGCCATTAATTCCCCTCCGAATGCCGCCCCTCACTTTGCACACGCTTGCCCCACTATTCTGGCTACTTTCTGAGGCCGTTCCGAAAGTCCTCTTTTGTGTGTCTTTAAATGTGCTGTCATGGCTGCCTCCATGTCCTGAACTGACTCAAAACATGTACCTTTCTTGGTCATTTTAACTTTAGGAAGATCCAGAAGTCACACAGTGCTAGATCTGGTGAATAACGTGAATGAAGACACACTGTAATATTTTTATTTGACAGAAATTATCATAGACACTTTTAATCAATTCAGGATATACTCATAAAGAAGGCTTCCAGAATTGTTTCAGAAAGTGGTGAGAACAATGGGATAAGTCTGTTAAAACAAGGAGGAATATTTTGAGGGGGGTTAAATTTTAATTAAAAAATAATTTTTTGGGGGGGGGTCCTGGAAGTCAAACTCAGGACCTCGCAATTGCCAGGCAGGCGCTGTGCTGCTGAGCTATGTCCCTGTCCCCCCTGAGGGGAATTAATGGCAGTGTGTCTTTTACTGCAGTACCTTTTAAAAAATTTAAGTGCTCACCGTATTTTTTGTTCACCCCTTGAATTTGACGGTGTGAGGGAAGAAGAAGAACTTCGGTTCCAGGTTAGGAGGCCCGGCTTCCAGTCCCTCCTGTGTCACTAACACACTGTCACCTGTGGTGAATCTTCCTGTCCTTTGCAAACACGGAAGTGATTGTTCATAAGTGTCCCCTACTTCTGAAAATGTGTGGTTCTTTTCTGTAATTTTCTGTAGTACCTTTGAAAAATCAAAGTAAAATTAATGAGTGCATTGAACACCAAATAGATCTATGAATACTGTTAAACAGTTTCCTTTTTAACTAAATCTATAATGCTCCAATTCATTTTTTAAGTTAAATACATTCCACTTATATTTTCTAAACAACAAATCTGTTCCCTAATAACTTACAGTTCATTCACCTTCTGCCTTGTTTCTTCTGTTCCTTGCAGAGACTATATAACATAAAATTGAATCAATATTGCATGATTTTTTGAGCTCTAACTTAGTAATTGTATACTAGTAAATATATATTGAAATAGACACTTGTAAATATTAGTGTTTTATCTGAGTAATATGAAGTATTTGCTAGCTTAAAAAATCTTCGATTACAAAAATTATTTTTCCTAGTCCTTAGATGATACTATTTCTAGTTAGCATGTCATTATGCTTTACTTTGGAAATAGCTCATTTTGTGATTGTTTTATGTGTGAGGCAATACTAACCACTTAGTCTTGGAATATATAGCCTTGTTGATTCACAGTCAACCCACAGCAAGAGAAAAAGGGGGAAGCAGAGAGAGCCTGACCTTTTTACTCCTATTTGTAGGGATGGAAAGTTGTTGAGTTTCCATTATTTGTGGAGATAAGAAACTTCTGCCTTTGCTTTGGCAGGGTGTTAGGAGTTTCATGTTCATCTAGCATACCCAGGTGGCATTGCCTGGACCATCTTCTCATCTCAACAGTGTGTTATCGAGCTGTTTGTAATTACAGGAGGCTGTGGTCTCATACACTGTTATGGCTCAAGTGTATAATTTTACTTCTGGAATGCCAGTCGTTAATGTTGATTAAAATGTTTATTTTGCTGGGGCATGGTGGTGCGTGCCTGTAATCTCAGCACTTGGGAGGCTGAGACGGGAGGATTGCTGTGAGTTCAAGGCTGGTGTGAACTACATAGTAAGACCTCATTTCAGAAAAACAAAAACAACGAAATTTTTTTTATTCTGACAGAATAAGTGGTCAAATTCTACATTGCCTTGCAGAATACATTTATAAACATTGTTTAAGCTCTTGAGTATGTTTGTATTTTCTGTTCTTTTCCTTTTGCTTTTTCTGTACCCAGTGTCCTCCAGGAATGAAGCAGCAGGTCCTGGTGTTCTATACTAAACTTCTGGGAAGAATCCGGCAGCCACTACTTCCACACATTAATGTGCACCGGCCTGTGCAGGTATTTTTTTCTTCTTACATAAAATTATTTCATTTGGTTTCTTTTACTTTTTAATTTTTTTGGTACCAGGGATCAAACTCAAAATCTCGTACTTGCCAAGCAGACACGTAGGCCGCTGAGCAAAACCCCTGGCCCCATTTGGTTTCTTTTAGAGTAGAAATAGTTTTATATTATTATTATTTTTTTTTTTTGTCTTTTTCGTTTTTATCGGTACCAGGGATCGAACTCACGACTGCCTGCTTGCAAGGCAGGCACTTATGCCACTGAGCTAAATCCCCAGCCCCTTTATATTATTTTTTAATAAAACCAAGATTACTAATAGAAACTATTCTAAAAGTAACATGCAAATTAGCATTTACTAGAGTTTTCCTTGTGCAAGATCATGTTACCTGTACTTCATATCTTTATGGTTCTGCTGAAGGTTTTATACCTTAATTTTCTTTTTACTTTCCCTCCATGACTTCATGAGTAGAGGTAGAGTTTATTGTATACCTCACTAATTTTTTTGGATAAGAACTTGAAAATTTTACTATTAGTAAATTTACTTAGATGTAGATGATGGTAAAGATTGGTAAAGATTAATATAAGACATTTCTGTTACTTGAGATTTTTAAATATTAAGGTTATAGATGGCTATTTACATTTTTTATAAGTTTTAAAATGTATTTTGGCAGAAATTAATTCGACTCTGTGGTGAAGTACTTGCAACACCAACGGAAAATGAAGAGATTCAGTTTCTCTGCATTGTGTGTGCAAAGCTGAAGCAGGATCCCTACTTGGTTAATTTTTTCCTGGAGGTAGGCTGTGCATCTTAACTTTCAAGTGTGCTTATTCAGGTTGTTATGAAAATTGCACTGTGAGTAATCTTAAGAGGAATTACATTTTGAAAATTGTTACATGGCTTGTTTCACTTCCTAGAAATTTTTTTTTTCATTTAAGACCATTTTACTCTAAATTGCTGTCTCTTGGGGCAAAAAGATTTTAAAGAATGCAGTTGAGCCAGATATATAGGGCAGTACTGAGATGAACAGATACAAAACCAAAGTCAGAAAGAATGGCTGTATTAAAAACTCACAGAAGTTTATAACCTGGCAGCATATTTTTGCTGAGGCTTGAATTAGTCTGCAGCGTGAGTAATGTGTGATTTTTCACCAGAGTACAGTTTTCTAAATCAACTGATGTTTTGTACTTTACTACCACTTTTAAAGAAGAAAATAAGTTTTGTGTACTTCTTGCTTTCTTGCTTTTCTTTTTCTAACAATGAAAGCATTTAAAAGTATATTAGAAAAGGTAAACTATCTTTGTCTTTTTAGTTTAGAAACTATCCTTTTTCTTTGTGTTTTTTTAAACATTAAGGTACAAGTTACATACAGTATAATTTATTCTTTTTGGTGTATAGTTCTGATTTTGGCCAACACATGTAACTATGTAACTGGCACCACAATCAAAATACATGGTACTTTTATCATTGCCCCGACCCTGTGTTGTTATCCTTTAATATATGACTTTGCCTCCTTATATGGGTGAATATTACCTTGTACAGATAGCAGTGCAGTTTTCTATTCATCTGGTGGGGAGACTTTGGGATTGTTTCCAATTTTTGACAATTATGAATTTTTTTAAGGAGAACAAAACAAAAGAGATCAAAGCAGATCAGAGCAAAACAATGCAATCAAAACAAGACAACAGGAAATCAACAGTGGTTACCATAATGTCTCTTGTTCTCTTCAAAATAGCTGTCTATACCATCACATACATTGAAATTAAATAATTTAAAACAGACGAAAACCAATCAAAATTAGAATAAAAGCATTCCTGGACTTCAAGATGATAGGAAATCAATAGTGGATACCATAATGCCTCATTTTCTTCAAAGTAGATGTTCATACCATCATATGTAATAAAATCGATTCTTGTAATCTCTAGGAGAAGCTCTAGTTATGTATAAGCCTATATGTGTACATCTATCCTTCCTGTATTAAAGGGAAAAACAAAACAAAGCAAAATAAATTACAAGAAACAGAAGAGACAAGTAAATAGCAATAAGAAAGAGCCCAAAACAATGACAATATAGGCTTTCAAAACAAGCTAGTAGGAGTGTAACTAAGGTTTTTATTTTATCTAGTTATCTTCAAAAGACTTACTCAGATTATCAGATATAAACCTATAAATTTGATCTAATCCTATGAATGTTACCTGTTTTGTTCCAAGAACTAATAGAATTAGTAGCACAATCATCTTAGCTATCTTAAGTGTGTATATTACAAATTTAGATCTTTTTTCTTTTCTCTTTTTTTCTGAGTATTTTTTCCCCTTTGAGCAGTTTCTTACCCTTTCACAAAATTTTTTGAATATTTGGTATCTTATTTACTCTTTCAGTCTCTTACACTGGGGAGACAATATGGTATTTGCATATGTGAGTTTGATTTATGTCACTTAAGAATATGGTCTCAAGTCATATCCATTTACCTATAAAAGCCTCAGTGTCACATACAAGCTTTTGTTTGAATTTAGGTTTTCATTTCACTGGGAAGAATTCTTAGTGGTAGGATTACCAGGTTGTAGCTTTGCATTTATTTTGGTAAGAAGCTGCTGGAGTCTTTTTCTGTAGTGACTTTGTCATCTCGCATCTCATCAGCAGTGTAGGTGAGTTCCTGTTCTGTTTTCTTACCTGGCACTGATTGCTACCAGGTTTTTTTGTTCTTCAATGTTAGCCATCCTAATAGATCAATTTGTCCTCCATTCACATGTTTTAAATAAATAATTTAGTATCTTATTATAATGCATTGTTGGGGAAGTACATTAGCAGCCCAGCTGCAGAACTCTGTAAATTCAAATTTGTAGTTAGTGGTAAAGACTGAAAATGTTCTTTTTTCATGACGCACATCATATTTTGTATCTTATTTTATAACTTTGCTTCAAAATTGTTCTCCAAAGCCTGAGGTGGCAACTGTCTCCATTTTTCTGAGTGGATAGGAGTGTTTGTATGCTTTTAATGTCCATTTTTATTGCCTCCCTAGCATTGGAATTATTTGTGGACATTTCATTTTCTCCTGTCGGTCATAAGCTCCTTGAGCTCAAGGGCTTTGTCTCAGTAATCTTTGGTCTTCCTAGCTTCTATAGTATTTCATATTTCTAAAGATTTGTTAATGAAAGTAGCATTATAGTTCTTTTGGTTTTTAATATGTTTATAAAAAATGGATCAGTTTGCCAGGCCTGGTGGCATAGGCCTATAATCCTAGTACTCTGGGAGATAAGCAGGAAGCAGGAGGATTGCAAGTTTGAGCAACTTAGTAACTTAATGACTTAGCAAGACCCTGCCTCAAAATAAAAATTGACAAGGGGCTAGGGATGTAGGTCAGTGTGGGAGCCCTGACTTCAGTCCTAGCCAGTACCACAGGAAGAAAAAAGAGGGTGGGGTGATCAGTTTGGTTAAATACTAGATTTTGAAAATTTTCTTAGATAACGTAATGTAATTTAGATGCAGAAGATTTTCCCCAAACTTAAGCCTGATGGGTTTCTTTCTCAAGGCCTCTAAACTTGCTTCAGAAGCAGAATAAATTTGCAAGCCTATCGATGTCAGTGGTGAGATACAACTTTAAACCTCACTACAAATAGCAATGTATCCGCTCTGTGCTGTGTTTTTATATTATATATCTCTCCAAAGCCGGAGGTGGCAGCTAACTCCATTTTTCTGAGTGGATAAAAATGTTCACATGCTTCTAACATCTGTCATTACAGCCTCCCTTGCTGTGTGCTTTTCAATTTTCCTGCTGTCCAATAAACAAACTTCTTGAGGACAAAGACTTTGTCTTATTAATCTTTGGGTCTGCACAGCTCCTCTGGTGTCTAGCACAAAGCATAGTAACTGCTCAATTACCTCTTACTGAATGATTAAATCTTTGGTAAAATGCAGTTTTATTGCTTTAAGTATGGATAGTAACAGAAGTACTTTATAGTTCTCATGCTTTTGTACCCTGAAATCTAACGTGTGTTCTGTTATATTAGTTACCATATGCATCTAACTCTGTGTTAAGTATACTGTATATGGCAGATCAATTACGAATAGTCTTTGCTCAGAGAATTTTATAGTCTGGTGAAGACGGTAAAGTGAATGTTCAGACACAGTGACCTAAGAGAGGGCACCATGAGAAACATGAGAAGAGGCAGTAACTGCTCTCAGGGCCCATAGCAGGAAGAGACAACTTATGTGTGAAGTCATCGGGAAGGACTTTATGGAAGAGGGCTTCTTTGAGATTTACTTGACAGGTGTTTAGAAGGAGGCATAAACAAGGGGAATGGAAGGAACAGTATGGTTTGGATATATGGATGGCACTGAGCCCAAACAGACAGGCTAGATGTTTTCAAAGGGTTTGAACTGCAAGATAGGTGTTTGTGGTAACTTGTAGACATTGCGGAGCCACTGATGATTTTTGATCAGGGACGGTGTGTGACATCATCTGTGCCTTAAGAGGTGAAATTTGGTGGCAGCATTTTGTACAGTGACTTCCTTTGGAGGAGGAGAGAAAAGTGGGGCAACCAACTTGAAGCTGATGGATTAACTAAGACAAGAACCAGGACTGTTACTAAATGGAAAGTGGTAGGTTGAGATGAGGGGTGTAGAGGTGTGCTTCCAGTGTAGAGGTGGTCTCTATGTAATATAACTCACTGCGCAGGGAGCAGAGAAAGGACTATTCAAACACTTGAAGTCTTGAACCAAATATGGAGCTGCTTAGTGGAAGGGAGTGCACTTGGAGAGCTCTTGTTTTGAAGGGAAGATGATAATTTTGGTTCTGGATGCTTTGAATCTCCCTGATACGCTAATGGAGAGAATGAGCCGGTATTTGGTAGTGTTGCAAGTCTATGATTTGGGAGGGTTGTTTAAGACATGGAAGAATTATGTGCGTAAATATGTGTGGAGCTGTGAGATCCCTCAAGGTAGAAAGGGAACAGTTTTGGTGGAACCAAAGTTAAGAATTAGGGCCACAGCTCTTCGTCACCTCGGAAAATTTTCAAAATGCAAATTTTGGGGGCTCTATCTCCAGATACTCTCATTCAGAAGATCTTGATGAGACCCAACAATCTGTTTTTTCTCTGTTTTGTACTAAATACAACCTGACAAGATGGAGATGCTAGTCTTGCACTTTGAGAAAGTTTAGGGTGTGGTTCTTCCTTTTGTTCTTGAGACTGCTCTTCCAACAATACCATTAGTGCATTAGAGGGATTAAAATGTTTTACTTTCACAAAGATGATGCTGTGCAGCTGACTGTTTATTGATTTTCATAGAGTGGTTTTCTTTTTTTTTTTAGAAGAAGAAAAAATTAACAAAACAGTTCCAAAACAAGCTAGTAAGGAGTAACAATAATTAATACATTGCGTATTGTTATAGTAGTTGTTCAGAGTACAAGATATAGGCCTGAAGTATCATCCAAACAACGTTAGCACAAATCTTCCTTTTCAGTGAGCTAGGAGACACTAACTGTATAATTATCCTAACTGTCTTGATTGTGTGTATATATGGTTTTTTCCCCTTTCTTCTTTTTCCCATTCTCCCATCACAGTTTTTTCTTTTGGACAGTTTTTTCCCTATTGCCAATATCTATTGTACATTTTAGATCTTAGTTACTTACTCATTTTCTCACACTAGTGAAATAATACGATATTTACACTGTGGATCTGATTTATTTGACTTATGAAATAAATATAACTCGGTCTCGAGTTATATCCATTTACCTATGAGAGTCTCAAGTTTATCCTTCTTTTTTGGCTGCTTGGTATCCCATTATATAAAAAAAATCACATCTTTTTTTATTAGTTCCTCAATTGATGGGCATTTGGGTTGTTTCTAAGATTTAGCTATTACAGATTATGCAACAAGGGCAAGTCAGGGGCTATCACAATCTCTGACCTGAAATTATACTGTTAAGTTACTGTGGTAAAAATCAACATGGTACTGGCAGAAAAAAACAAAAAAACTGAGGATCAGTGGAACAGAATAGAAGATGCAGATGCAACTCCAAACACCCAGCCACCTTGTCATGGACAAAGGAGCCAAACACGGTCACTGGAAGAAAGACAGCCTCTGTACCACATGGTGCTGGGTTTTTTTTTTTGTTTGTTTGTTTTTTTGTTTTATTTTTCATATACAGGCTTTGAGCCCAGTCGCTCAAGAAGAGCTGTTTTCCCCCGTAGTTTTAAAGCAGTAGAAATGATTGGTAATTAGAAGTGGAACCCTGAATTCACTCAGCCTTTTTATTGTGCGTCTGTGATGAGCAGAGCAGTGAGGCAGGCCCTTGGGAGAAGCTGGTTCATTATACGTTTCAACTCGTGTGTGTGTGTGTGTGTGTGTGTGTGTGTGTGTGTGTGTGTAATTCGATTTTTACTCTTGCGTTCAAATGGAAAGGAAGGCACTCTTCTCGTGAAACTAACAGTTTGCTTCAGTTAGGATTCTCTTTGTGTTTGGGTATGTCTGGGGATGGGCCATGCCAGCATTTCAAGCAAATCTACTTATCCTTGGACACAAATGAAAATATCCTCAGAGTAGGCTTTTGTGTTTTTATATAGCAGAAACATAGAAAAATGCTTAGAAAAAGTTCTGACGCATTAGATTTGGCCTTGTAGAAATCTTAAATCAAAGCCTAGTAACTTTTGATTTTAAAGTATTTTTGTTTATAAATTTGCCTCCCCAATGATCTTAGAAGTGTTAACATTGAGATGATACATTTACAGTAACCTAGTGATGAGAAAAAAAACCTGAATAGAAAATTTTCCCCCACTGAGATTTTATTTCTAGATGTTTCTAGAAATAGTCAAATACTGCCATAATCTCTGTACTACTGAATGCTTATGATCAGTGTGAAACGTTTTGTAGTTATTGTGTAGAGAATCATTAATTTCTTTGCAATTTTAGAAGTAGGCCTCAAACACAGTTGGTTAAATGACTGAATATTTTTATTTAATGTAACACTTGTGCTATTTCAGTTAGACATGGGAAACGTTAATTATAGAAAAATCCACTGCCAAGGACTTCTGGTACCGAGAGTAGTTCTTAACCTGAAACTTTCAAAACGTGTTCTCCTCCTCAGAACAAATTGAAGTCCTGGGCTTCTAAAGGAGCACCAAATGTAATTTCAGAAGACACACTGAAAGGTCAAGATTCCTTGTCAACTGATACAGGACAGTCTCGGCAACCAGAGAAGCCGTCTAGTGCTACTGCAGCGGAGCACACAGAGTCGGAGGATGAGCCCCCGCCCCAGACAGATGACCTGTCTACAAGCTTGGACGACCTCAGTGCTGCGTCACTGCCAGAGGCCTCAGTAGTGCGTCCAAACCAGGATTATAATTTAGTGAATTCCTTATTAAATCTTACCCGAAGCCCTGTAAGTCATCGTCTTTACTTTTTTCTCCCCTAACATAATCGCAATAGCATGCATTTGTAGTGGAAGCAATCCTTTTATATCAAATTGTCCTCAGCAGTCTGGTTCTGTCTGTATCTAACTGAAGCGTTGAAGGGGTGTGTTTCTCCCCAGGATGGCCGCATAGCCGTGAAAGCGTGTGAGGGCTTGATGCTGTTAGTGAGTTTGCCAGAGCCCGCAGCTGCGAAGTGCCTTACCCAGAGCACTTGCTTGTGCGAACTACTGACGGACAGACTCGCCTCCCTGTACAAGGCCCTACCTCAATCTGTGGACCCCTTAGACATTGAAACAGTGGAAGCCATTAACTGGGGGTGAGCATCGTTCTTTGTGGTTTCCCATAAAGGCGACTTCTTATACTTAGGTTTTAAAACACTAGAAATCTTTAATTTTGAAAAAGCACTCATAGAGATTGTTAAGTGGGAAAGAATTCTTCAGGCTTGTAGTAAATTCATCAGGCAGTGGTAACAGGCTGGTGTGGAAGCCGTCCAGCTGTTGTGTACCTGTACAGTTGAGGAACTTTTATTTGGCCCACTATACTGATAGATTTTTAAGGGCTTACATTAAAACCAGTAACTTTATCTGGTTATTTTTATTAAAAACAGAAATTGTAAAAGGAAGATCTTCTTTTTTATAAATGACTTCCACAGCCTCTGGGACAGTCTCCTGTGCCCTCTAGCTTGTGTGTGTACATGGAATTGCCACTGAGTTTTTTACTCTACCTTTCTGGGCTCCTTTACTTGATTCTCATGAGAAAATATAGCCATTAGCTATTGCAGAACACTTCATTACTAAAATAGAAAGAGCATAAATAAAAAATTATGCTACCACCCACAAACACTTAGTATTCTGATGGAATTATCTTTTAGTGCTTTTCTCCAAATATGTAGCCCTTTGTTTTTGGTTTTTGGGTGTTTTGTTTTCTTTTGTTGAGACAAGGTCTCACTATACAGTTTAGTCTGTCCCTGCACTCACTTTGTAGTCCAGGCTGGCCTCAAACTTGCAGCAGTCCTCCAGCCTCAGCCCTCCGTGCTAGGATTGCAGGCGTGTGCCTCCGTGCCCGGCTAGCCTTTTGGTTTTTCCACTTGTTTTTCCACACTGTATGCCAACATCTATCAGGAAGATGCACCTGTTTACATTACAGCTGTGCAGCGTTTTAAGGCAGGGAAAGCACCTGGCTAGTCACTTTGTCTTTCTTCGGGTCCTTTATTCCCTTTTCTTTTTTTGCATCCCAGCAGCCAAGAACCTCTCTACTTTTTCATTACAGTTACTTTGTCAAATTTATGGCAGAATTATGAGGAGCTGTTTAAATGGTTTTTCTCATTATCTTTCATCCTGTTTTAGTCTCTCTCTTCCTACTTAAGAAATAAAAATGATTTACAACTTTTATTATTAAAAGGTTTTCTCTTATCTTTGGCATCTTTTATAAATCCTTGTTTGATTGTCACTCAGCATTGCCTCTGTGAAAATATATCATACCATGTGTTCTAAATTCATTTGTGTGCCTTCATTTTTTGGTATGTACTGAGTAGGATTTATGCTTTTGAATAACTGTGGACTTGGCCTTTCTTCCGTTTTCTACAGCTTGGATTCATACAGTCATAAAGAAGATGCTTCCGCATTTCCAGGAAAACGAGCCTTAATTTCATTTCTTTCCTGGTTTGATTATTGTGATCAGCTCATCAAGGAAGCACAAAAGGTTTGAGTACTTTTGTTACTTACGGATAACTTTAAAATTTAAGTGTCTAGCAAGTGAAATTTGACTCTGTGGTTTATGTCTCCAAATATGTTTTAATTGTCTTAAGATATTATATTTAGTAAAATAAATAAGCCAAAAATCAAGCATGTACATTACAATTCTGAAACAAATGACAATTTAAATTCCTTTTATATTTCTTTAATATTGTATTATGGTGCAATACTTCATAGAGATTGACTTTACAACAATAACTTCTTTCTAGCGCTCTTTGGGAGTAAATTTCTGAAATAATTCTTTTGGTCCTGTTTCTTTTATTTGGGGGAATTAAAAAAGTAACCCAACAGCCAGCATTTAATCTAGGTTTGTGGTCAGTAAGCAAGCTTTTTTTCCACGTTTCCATATGAAGAGTGCAAACTGATTTATTGATGTTACAGATTAGTCTCTTTTCCATTAACAAAACGTTGCTAACACTGTATTTTAGACTGCTGCTGTTGCTCTTGCCAAAGCTGTTCATGAAAGGTTTTTCATTGGTGTTATGGAACCTCAGTTAATGCAAACGTGAGTAACGTCTTTCCTTAATAACAAAACAAAACAACAAAAATACTGCTATTTCTGTCACTTCTGTCCACTAATTACCTGTTTGTTGTCCTCAGTTCTGAGATGGGCATTCTGACGTCAACTGCTCTGCTTCATCGTATTGTTCGGCAAGTAACCTCTGATGTTTTGCTTCAAGAAATGGTGATGTTTATTCTTGGAGACCAGAGAGAACCAGAGACTCTTGCAGAAATTAGCAGACATCCTTTAAGACATAGGTTAATTGAACATTGTGATCACATATCTGATGAGGTAAGCTGTGTAATATTTTAGTATCGGACTTAGATTCTTTGACCTACATACTTTAATATACTTGTGATGTTTTAAAGACAGCTTTTCATTTTATGTGGCTTTATACATTAAAGGCATGACTTGCAAGATGGCAAAAAGAACAGCATGTGTGAAGATACGTTTCAGTTAGCTCGTATCAATTTTGCTTTCAGATAAGCATAATGACACTGAGGATGTTTGAACATCTTCTACAAAAACCCAATGAGCACATTCTTTACAACTTGGTCCTAAGAAATCTTGAAGAAAGAAATTATACAGAATATAAACCTTTGTGCCCAGAAGATAAAGATGTAGTAGAGAATGGATTAATAGCAGGCGCAGTGTAAGTTACTACCCACCTCTGATCTCAGCTTTTCACAGACTTGGAACATCTTCCCTTCTTTTAGTTCTTACCCTTATGCTTAAAGAAAAAAATACCTCTAACTGCTTAACAAATTTTGGAAGTAAAATTTAAATACCCTGATGCTTATATCATTCTTTTAATTTACAAGGAATTTTCTATTCATTAAACCTATTAACAAAAGTAGCATGTCCTTGATAATATAAATGGTAATTTGTCTATAAAATAAATTATGTGAGCAAAAATGTATAATATTTTCTCAGAACATAGAGAATCTTTTGGTTTAGAAAATACCATAATAATTTTTTTATACATCATTAAATTAAACTTAGAGATCTGGAAGAAGATCCCTTATTTACTGACATTTCACCAGATAATACTTTGTCAAAGAAAGAGTGGCTTAGTTCTTCACCCCCAACTACACCAGATCACCCCAAGAATGATGGGAAGACTGAAGTCCATAAAATTGTAAATAGGTGAGTTGCTATATGTATTTGACTTATATCTCTTTTACTTCTTTTTATAATACAGAAAATCTATCCTCCTCATTTGTTATAGGAGCATGTGATAAACTTGGACTTCTTCAAAGATTATGTCAGTTTTTTAATCTTGATTATGTAGCAAGTTATAGCCAGGGAGCATTAGTTGGTATCCAGAGAAAAGCTCTACTTAATAGAAAAACGGTTTTTAAGAAAATAGTGAATAAGTAAACTCTCAAGTAGGTTAGTCATTTAAAAAAAATATGTAAATGGCTTAATTTTAAGTAATTCCCAATTACAGCAATATTGAGAATTGCCAGTTTGACAATTTGAACTTATAGCATGTGTGCTAAAGCACAGTGCTGTCTCTTTTATTTTTAGTTCATGTTTTTATGGGGTTTTTTGTTGTTGTTGTTGTTCTTTAAGGTGCCTGTTCTGTGGCAGTTTTCTTTTCTTTTTTCCTTCCCTTTCAATGTTGTCACTGATATGCTTGGCTCTGTCAGGTGGCATTAAAAATTGTACATGGCTTGAAATGCAAATTGTGATACATAAAAATACCTCAAGTTCATTTACTTAAAAGGCAGTTTCCTGAGATTAACACTGGTGTGTTAATCTGGCGTGGTGCAGCAATCTTTAAAAAAAAATTCTTTCGGTTTAAAAAAATTCTTTCAGTTTAAACGGAATCAAGACTTAAACCTTAAAACACTGGAAGAGTATTTAATGAGTAAATTATAAGACTGAACATAAGGACTTATACTATAATTTTATTTTTCAAGTTTCCATTTATATTAAGGCTCAACTAAATGTAAGATATCACTACATGCGATAGATATAAAGATATTAAGAGAATTATTCTGTTATTGATTATGATGGCCTTTTTCATTTAAGTTTTCTTTGTCTGGTACCGGATGAAGCAAAATCATCCTACCACGTTGAGGGCACTGGCTATGACACCTACCTCCGAGATGCTCACAGGCAGGTAAGTGACTTGACTGATTTTTGGGAATGAAATCTACGAATGTCTGCACACAAACCTCTTGTTACACTACTTAATTATGCACAGCCATGACTGCAAAGAAATGAGTCCTCACTCTTTAAAAATACAAGACCTGAGCTCTGTTGTAGTTTGGATTTCACTGGCCAAGTCCCTCTCTCAAGGTTTCTCTGGCTGTGCATTTCTTTTTTTATTCTTAAGTTATAGCTCGCCTGATCCATTTCCCCTGCTGATGCAAAATGTGGCGTCTTGTGATCCCACCACTTACCCTTGCCCCCAGTCCACAGCCCGCTACCCTTTCTCCCTCCTCCTGCAGTACTGAGGATTGAGCTCCAGGTTGTCCCCAAGCGAGGCAAGTGCTGTGCTCTGAGCCACATCCCTGGCTCTCCTTCACCCTTCGAATGCACATAGTGCAGTGTGGTGTCCCTCGCTCCAGTTACACTTCCGCCTCCCTGGAAATATGTTCTCAGAGGGTGGCTCTTTTCTTCATCCTTGGCATTATCTCTACATCTTGTGTACCCTTTGTATTTAATCTTTATTGTTTTAAGGTTATAAAATAATCAGCCTGTTGAGGATGCAATTTATGTTCGAATTACTATATAACCTCACAAAATCTGTAGTTCCGGTTTGTATACATTTTGCAGTGTCAATACCTAGAATTTGTTTAAAAAGAACTATAATAGACTATTTCAAAATTGGAAAGTGAATTACAAAGTTGGAAAATTATAAATTTGGAAAGTTTTGACATCTGAAAAAGATATATTTTTATTTAAACCCTTTGAATTGCATCTAGCAATTCATACGTTTAGCTAGAGTAATGAGATAGCAAGTAACATTCCCATAACAGGCTAGTAAAAGAAGTAAGGTAAAAAAAACAAAAAATCTCAGTACTACCATTTGAATTTTTAAGCTACTTGTGTTCTTTTGTAAAGTTTCCCTCATTTCCATTTTTTAATTATAAATATAATTGCAATGATTGTTTCAGAAATTTTAGAAAACAGACAAAAAGGATAAAAGTTTTAAAACTATTACTTAAGAGGTCAAATTTCAAGTGTTAATTTAAAAGCAGTTTATTTGGGATGTGACTTTATATAGAAAATTATCTAAAAAATTAGATGAATTTAAAACTCACACTATCTTGATGAAGTTGGCTTGTTTTAAATGTTTTTTTAAGCTGAAGGTAATGCTTATGATGAGAATATATTGTTTTAATTTCCTGTAATTTTCAAACTATGGAGAGGTCAAAGAAATTTTGCTGTACTAAATGAGGAAATTTTGAAAAGACAAAAATATGGAAAAAAATACCCCTTTGAATTTCTCTTAAGTAAATTACATATTGAGGAAACCTTTAAAATTCATTTTATTATGAGATAGTCTTGTGCTCATAAAAATCCATTTTCCAGTGAAAAGTATTGCTCTACTGAAGCAATAGTCTTTATTATTTCTAATCTGTTGCGTACTAACACTTTTGTAAGATAAAATTGAATTACTAAGAATATGAAGGAAAAGCACACAATATCAGCCCCAATTATGTTAGTGTTAGATTCAGCAAACATAAAGTGACTCAGATTGCTATGAAAATTCTAGATCCTTTCCTTCCTTTTTGTATTCATCTCATTGATGATGGTTGCAAACAGCTTGAGGCCCAATTCTGGCCTACAGAGCATCCTTTTCGTAGCACTGTTTTATCCTCTCTTTGCGGGCCCAGGGTAGGTCCACCCTGGGAACATCAAACCTTCTCCAGTAATGAGCAGCATTTACCTGTTATATATAAAATATTAGATCATTTGAGAATTTGGTCTTAACTTTGCTTTATAAATGTGCTCTAAATCTGTTAGGAAAATAACTAAAGAATTACATTACTGTAAAGGAAGAGCCAGGCATGGTAGCACAGGCTTGTAATCCCAGCATTTGGGAGGCTGAAGCAGGAGGATTGCCACACAGCTGAAAGCCGACCTGGACTACATGGTGGGCTCAAGGACAGCCTGAACTATGTAGCAGGACTCTGCCTCAATAAGCAAACAAACACCAAAAATTAAAATGTAAAAATAAAGGACGAGCATGAGCACAGTTTAAATGGGTTTTTTTGTCTGTTTGTTTGAGACAGAGCCAGAGTCTGCTAGATTATAGGCTGTCCTTGAACTGACTTTGTAGCCCAGCCTGGCCTCAGTCTGCTGGCAATCCTTCTACCTCGGGTTCTAGGCGTGTGCCACCATGTCTGGATTCCCAAGGGCACAGTCTAATGAAATCGAAACAAGCCTTTTTCCTCCACCATCTTGTTCTAGTTCCTGCCAGTCCTGGTCTTCCCTGAGTCCCTATTGTCAGACACCTGGCCACCTCTCTCTCCTCTCCAGTAGCACTGCACACAGGAGGTGTTCTGCATTCATGTGATTCCTTGTGCCTGTTTGAGGAAATTATTTCCATTTTATCTTCATTTTGTTTTCTGGTAGTTCCTTGATGCAAATGCTTTTTTCTCCCTAGTTTCGGGACTACTGTGCTATCTGCTTAAGATGGGAATGGCCTGGATCTCCGAAAGCATTGGAAAAGTGCAACTTAGAAGCAGCTTTCTTTGAAGGTCACTTTTTGAAGGTTTTGTTTGACAGAATGGGAAGAATTCTTGATCAGGTAATACATATTAAAATTCCTTTTTTTTAATATGTTGTTCCTATTCACTGTGATATAATCTGAAGTTTTAGTTTGGATTTTCAATTAAGTATTTTCATTCTTGATTTTTCTGCTGGAGGACTTCTTCATAAGGCTTTTTGCCAACAGCTTGTTGGGTTCTGATGCATTGAAATGTTCAAAATACTCACTTAGCCTGGCAGCTATTACAGACCTGTGTGTCTTCTTATTACTGGCCCTCATTTTAGAGATGATTAGCGCTTTCTCTTATGACTAACTTGGAAAACCTTTCAATTAGTATGGTTGGTCAGTATGGATACACATAAGGTAAAACTTAAGATCCGCTCAAGAGACCTAAATGTCATTTCCAATTGAATCTTGAACATGCTGGTCTCATTAAAATTGTGAACTGGCTTTATCAGACAAAGAGCTTGTGAACAGTGTTCATTTTCATGAGGGAAAGAGGAAATCAAAAAGATTCATTTACATCAAAATTGAGTGAAAATCACCATCAACTGATACGATGCTATCAAGCACTGGGAGAAGGAATTTGGGGTGAAGGAATCTCTCTTGCCCTGTCAGTGACAGACACCCATGAGAGTGGCATCTACACTTGAAGTAGAACCCCCAACACAGTTCTTGTCTCAACGTAGAAACTGAATTAACTAATTTGGAATTAATTTGAAATTTAATTAATTTGAAATTATAGTACTTGTTCTTTTTTTTTTTTTTTTTTTAAAGCATTTTAGGTAAATCTTTATGTGAGTATAAGGAGTTGTAAAAGAAATTTGCTCCATGAGTATGCATTCTTCAGTACCCAGAAAGTCAAATAAAATATAATTTAAGAAGTACTGGGTACAGCGTAGCCTCAGTCGGAATTGTTTCCAACATCAATAAAGATTCAGGTCTTTTTTTTTTTTCCTTTTAAATAGCATGGACTGTATCTCTAATATTTGTTTTAAAGCTGACAGCTAAAGTATACAAGTCTGGCATAGTAAGTGTGGTCTGTACCTCTTGGTGTAAATATCCTGGGTGGCCAGATTCATCATTTGGTTATAGGTTTTGCTATTAGTTTGCTAGGCTTAGTTTGAATCTGCTTGAGCAAGAAATATTTAACAGTATCAAGACAATAATTTTTAGAAGTTTCAACCAAAAGCAATGAAAAAGGACCCACATTTTAAAAATAGTTTCTGAATCAAAAAAAATTCCATTCTCAATTATCATCACAATTGAGCAGTTTTCCTTAGTTTATCAAATGCCAACACAAAAGGATGCTTGAAGATAGAGTATCTTCAACTGCTTGGCACAATGTGGGATGGAGCTGATGCCTGTGCCCTCACCATCATCCTTCCTGTGTCCCTAACATGGGTGCGACAGATTTCTAGCACTGTTTCACAAATGAGGGATCCTTGATTTCAGGTATAGGATTTAGAGCCTGCAGCCTGTCAGTCATTAAAACCGTAGGTTTTGCAGCCTCTTTGGTGAGAACAAGAACATCCTGTGGTCTGATTTTAAAGACAGTGCATGAGTCCTTATGGGCCTTGGTGTGTTTGGTTTGATTTCATTTTCTTTTCTATTTTTGCTAAGGATGGTGTCTGTATTTTCATAAGGTATATTCCTAATAGAGTCATGGTAACCATCCTGGGATTAAACATTAAATATACATAGTTCATAAAGAAGATAATTTCTTCATGCCTAATTGAGAAGTTATAGCATTAAGTACTCATGGCACCACTGTGTTGTCACAATGTTAATTAAAAGAGAATTCTATACAATACAAACAGTAGTTCGTACCTGTGGTGATTTCATAAATGTAGTACAGTGCTGACATCCACAACAGAATGTAGAGACTACCAGGAAAAACAATGAAGAGGCCAAAGCTTGTCTCACTCTAACTGCAAAGAGTGTAAAGTTGGGTGAGTAACTTAGCCACTTGTCACATTTGATGAGAATTCACTTTTTTTTTTTTTTGTCTTTTTGAGACAGAGTCTCACTATGCAGTTTCAAGCTGGCCTTGAGCTCACTGTATAGTCCAGGCTGGTCTTGAATTTGCAATGATTCTCCTGCCTCAGCCCCCTGAGTATTGGGATTACAAGCATGTGCCACTACACCCAGTTTGAGAATTGACTTTTATTATGAGTTGAGTTTTGGAAAAGACTGTCTTATTGCAAATATTATCAGGAGAATATACTCTTAAATGTCCCTTTATTAGGACTACAAATCTCCTTTAATTTATTTTACTGTAAAACTATTTAGAAAAAAACCTGACTCTTTATTCTTTCAAAAAATCCAAGTTTATTAATCTCGTGGTTAATAAGAAAGAGTAAAATCGAACTTAGAGCCAGAAGTGAGATTTGTATGTAACAAAACATACGTTCATCAGAGTACCTCTGATTGTCTTCTGGCATGTGTCTAGGCATTCTCTGAATGCCAGAAATCCACTTCGGTTGGTATTCATTTTGATCACGTGTATTAAAGCGGATTAGTGGGTGAGAATGAAACATTCAGATCCCATTGTGGATGTTAAACCTAGTCTTGATCTCCTTGTCACCTGTAGGCATAAGGTGACCAGTTTTTCCTTAAATTCTTTTATTCCATTGACAAAGGTTTGTGATTTGAATTTATTTTATTATATATGTGTTTTTGATACTTGACTGCCATGGAATAATGCAAGATGAAGAATACTGTTTCCAAACCTATTTTCTTGTATTTATAAGATGAAATATCTTTTTACTTAGTATTAAGTTTAATTTGTCCTCTGTGGTTTGTAATTAATATTACTTGTAGCATATTGGTGATTTCTGATGACTTTCAACTCTTCATTAATTCAGCCATCCCACATAAACATCCTATTATATTGCATCTTTGTCTTTTGTACATGTTTCAATGTATGTCTTTTATTTTTTAAGTTTTAGGACTGTGCTGTGTGCATTTTGATTAAGATGGTGAGAGCCTGTTTAGCTGTAGATATTTTCACTGCAGAAGAACACGTGGAGAGAGTAGCTGGTGTGTTTTCCTTTCTTAGCCAAATTAAAGTGGTGAGTTAAGCATGTTGTATGTACATGATCAGTCATGCCAGCTGTCTTTCTATCCTTACCTCCACACAGCCGTACGATGTGAATCTACAGGTGACTTCAGTGTTGTCCAGATTGTCCCTTTTCCCTCATCCACACACACATGAGTACCTTTTGGATCCCTACGTGAACCTTGCCTCTGGCTGTAGATCGCTCTTCTCTGTAATCGTCAGGGTGAGTTCTGTTCTGCTCTGCTCTTTAGAACCAGTAAGCCCACCAGTTAACATCTTCATATCACTGTAGGTAGTCGGTGTCATGTAATGAAGATATTATATATCTGTATTTAAACTAATCATCCTACATTCTGAACATTATAGAATGGGAAAGGAAGAAAATTCTTTTAAATAATATATATATATAACTTTTATATTGTAAGCACTAAGTAAGTCTTTGGTCAAAGAGACTGTGGAGGAGGTTCGTTAGTGATAGAAAGGATGTTTTTTTCAATCAGAATCCTTATTCAGACAGTTTCAAGAACTGTGTTTTTATCTGTGATGCAGGTTGTTGGAGACCTTATGGTTCGGATTCAGCGTATTCAAGACTTCACACCTAAGCTTCTGTTAGTCAGGAAGCGATTGCTTGGTTTGGAACCTGAAGGGCCTGTGTAAGTCATTGTTTTTATATACTTTTATCCAAAAATGTCACCAGATTCAATGATCTGCTGAGAACTCACATTGATTTACTGTCTACTTTTCCCAGTATTGACCACATCACATTGCTAGAAGGTGTGATTGTGTTAGAAGAGTTCTGTAAGGAGCTGGCGGCAATTGCGTTTGTGAAATACCACGCTTCTTCCACACCATAAGTAGTGACTAGGGGACTTTCAACTCTCAAGTCACTTGGGGAACCGAACTGTCATGTACATGTCATCAGAGAAGACTCAGTTCCATCCAGTCAAGAGAGGATAAAAAGCCTTTTTAAATGAAGTATTATTGTAAACTGGACAGAGCCTTTTAGGCGAATACTCTTGGTAAAATGTGGCATAATGTTTTCATTGGCTTTACCGTGATGGATCTCTGTGTTGTACGTTGTGTAACCCAGGATACAGTCAAAGGAACTCCAGGAAATAGGCATTTCTAATGACTGTGAAGTGCTGAAAAATTCCTGGTGTCATGACTTTGAGGATATTTCTGTTATCTTAACATCCTTTTAGGTAGCAAGACATTTTGACATTCTCTGGATCTCAAATGCTTAGCTTGTTTTGGATTAATAAGTAGCAAAAAATTCACTAATTTTGTAACTTTTTAAGGTAAAGATTCATATCAAAGTATTTAAAACTGTAAATGAGAAAAAGCATAATTCAGGAACCATCCATGAATTGTTGATGATAGTAAATAAAAATGTGTAGACCAGTATCAACTTTCTTTAGCTTTTCTAAGAATAACAATTTAATATGATACAAAAATTCTTGTTTAATATATATTTTTAAAGAGACATTCTTTTACTCTTTTGTGCACATAGCCATGTTAGTGGTTAATTTTCATGTATGGGTCCCAGTTTACTTAAACTGGCATTTTTGAAACATTGAATTTATGTTCATCATTGGTTGTGTTTGTTAAAATAGTGTTTTTTACCTAACTAGTATGTACTCAGTTGACAACTTATTTCTTCTCTTTCCCTCTCTGAAAATTAGTTTTTTGAAATTCCGCATAATTGATTTTCTTACTGAAGCTAATGGTAGTGTCCAGGTAGGCAACAATCAGAATGCCAATGGCATCGTAATGTTTACATTTTTTTCATTTCACTTTGTTGTCTGTTGTCTTAAATGATTCTAAAGAAATGAAAGAAAACAGCCCTTTAGATGTCCTGTCTATATGTTGAAGGATGCGTGTGAAGGGGTGTACGTGCACAAGTGTCGGTGTAACACTGTAGGCTGTGGCAACGTTACATCAGGCGTTGGCTAGCGTCCTTCTGTTCTTTCTTTAAGTGATGTTTATTGTCCCAATATCGCTTTAAAGCTTTTTTTTTTAATGTTAAGCAGCAGCACTTTCCTCTTTTATCTTTCCATTTACTGATTTTGGGGGAGATCCTGTAAACATTCCATCTCGGGTCACCTTGGGCGGCTCGGCCTCAGCCCTTGTGAAAGCCATGTTATGTGGCATGTTTGCATACAGAGTCATGTTTTATGCTTCTCTGCTCATTTTGTTATAGTGTTTCTGATTGATTTTATAGTTAGCTTTTGCTATTTATTAAGAACAAAATATCAAGACTATGAATAATCTCAGCTCTAAAATGTTCATCGTTGTTAAAAAAGGACTAAATTTCTAATTTAACACAAATCTTTCTTAGTTTGGTCTAAAAAATTCATTAAGTAAAACAGTGAAACAGCAAAAACAGGAGATAGTTACTTCATGTAACTTTCTGTAATTTTGAATGATTGGAAGCATTATTCAGTTTGCTTTGTTGATCAGTTTATGGAAGAAACACTGAGGCATCTCCATTTTTAGTTATAGTTACAGTCTACTTTGATATGTATATATTTAAAATAAGGCATTAAGAGATGTTAGATATTTCTAAATGCTTTTGTAGTGCTTAATAGGAATAGTGTAACCTCTCAAACCAAATACTCTTTTATCTTTGATTTTCACAGTGGGACCTTGTAGCTAATCCATGAAACCAAGCCCAGAAAAGCTTTAACTCATATTTGTGTGTGTGTGTGTGTGTGTGTGTGTGTGTGTGTGTGTGTGTGTCTGTATATCTGTCTGTGTGTGTGTTGCTTCTGAAAATATAATTTTCCTAAGTTATTATAATGACTTTGATATAATCAGCTAAAGTTTAAGGTTTAGTTTGTTTCGCTTTTCTCTTTATCTCCTTTTTTCTTTTAGCATATTTAGTTTGGATTTAGTGCCAGCTCAAGTTCTCACACTTAGTCAAATTTGTTAATTTAGCAAAGCATTGACTATGACATCATTGGCCATATTCTTGTTGTCTGTCAGAAGCTGAATATTTCCAATACTCAGTGCTTGTAAGAAGGGTCAGAGAGGGCACCGTGTCAAGTAGAAAGTACCACCTCAGCAGCTGATTGTCATCCATAGCAGGTTCTAAACTTAATTTTAGCTTTGCTTTACATTTTTATAAATAGGTATGCACATTTTTTAAACTTACCAACAATGTAGTCTTTGGATTTATTTTTAGTAATGAGGCACATTCTTTACTTCATAGAACTCAGATTTGTCTTATCCAGTTATCATCGTAGGACTCACACTCTAATGATGTAATGTTTTCAAAATGTATCTGTGCAATATGGAAGCTGTGAGTGGTTTCACAGTTTGGGGGTTTAATTGTATATTACTATGTGTACATGTGTATATATGTATGTATATATAAGGACCAAAATCCTTAGCTTGCTTACACTATTGCTAGTGTAAAGATTGTTACACTTAATTTTACAGGGCACAAATTGCAGAATTACTTCATAAATTCATGGTAACATTTCTACAATTATTGTATTACTATATAATTACCATTGAATTATGAAGGGAGCAGGTATTGACAAAAGAAGTTACAGTGAAGTGCTGAAGCTACAAATTACACGGTCATTAAATTTGGGGGTCATACAGTAAATCAAAATGTGCATGTCACTGTGACACTTGATATGCTCAAACATGCTATATATGCATACTTCTGGGCCCTGTAAAATAGTGTTACTGTAATATCTGTTGGCCTCCTGCCTTGTTTACATTAAACAAAGGATAGTTGGTGAATTTTTCTATGAACATTGTCTGGGTCACTGACAGTGTTAGTTGCCACCGTCTGGAATTCTTGGGCTTCTAGGGAGATGCTCTTCAGATGGCGTGTTCTATACTGTCTTTAAAGGGGATTGTGATCATGTTCAACTTTTTGTGCTAACAATGCATGCAGGACTAAGAGGGATAATCAAAAATAAATAATATAATTTAAGCAAATGTGGTCTTTAGGCTTTTGTGTAATTATAGTTGGAAATATTTTATCCACTGATGAGTCTTAAAGCAATGATTCATAACTGTTTTTCAACCCTGAGGCAAAAAGAGATTTGGCCCACTGTAGTCAGTAGGTCACTATGGTCTTGATTCTAGGGAGAGAGCCACAACAAAAATCAGTATTTGGGGAAGAAGACCATGTAGCTTGAAAAATTTCCCTGGTTAAATCTCATATATCCTCCAATTTTCTCCTTTAATAGTCATTGCCCTAAAGGAAGAAATGTTGATGCAAGTCTCAGAAAAACTATTTATTCTAAGCATAGTTTCGTAGTATTTTTCCACACATATAAAAACCTATTTTTTCCTGATGTTTAAAATAATTGGATTCTAGACATCCTATTCCCTTGAGCATTTGCCCAAGTCCCTTAATTGGAAACTGGGAGGAAGGAGGAGGAGGAGGGGAGGGCGAGGGGGAGGGGGGAAAACGGGTAGGAGGAGGAGGAAAAAAGCAAGCAATATATAGCACAACCACAAAGAGCAAAATCTAATTACTATCCTCACCTACTCAAAGATTCTTGTCAGCCAGTGTTATTCAAAATAGCTTTAGAAGGAAGCATGGGGGCTAGGGATTTAGCTCAGCAGCAGGAGTGCCTGCTTGGCAAGTGCAAGGTGTGAGTTCAATCCCTGGTACCCCCCCCTCCCCCCCAAAAAGAAGAAGCAACCATAGAGATAACTGAGTGGAAAGGTCAGAAGAAGAAAGGGTTAGGCATCTGAGAGTGAAAATCACCCGCAGGGGCTGGCATAAGCATCTGCCTTGCAAGCAGGCGATCATGAGGTACCCATAAAAAGTAAAAAAAAAAGAAAAAGAAAATCACCCACAGGTACTTCAACAGAGGGCTGCCTTGTAGGGAGTACATAGTTCCGATGTTCCAGTGGAAAACTTGTTTCAAACTGCTGTTAATGTTTTATCTAGAAAACTAGGTAATCCAAAAGGAATTGAAAGGGAATTGTCGTAAAATACTGCAGATTTACTAGAGTAACTCTAAAATAAAAGGCTTTCCCTCAAAATATCAAAGCAAGCAAACAAAAACACTGCTTGCTGGTTTGTTTGATACTGAAGGCTTCACAGGAAAAACAAGTCTGTTTTAGTTGGTCTTGGGCCATGGACTTCCTTGTGCAAGACTGATTTTTAACTCCCCTAGATATATCCCCCACTGCCCACCCCAGGGAGATCATCTGTTTAAATCTGTTTCATACATATCCCCTGCTCTTTGGTTTGAGTGTTGTATGCATGAAAGATTTTTCTGTTACATCATTTCTAAGAAGACATTTCATTTAAAAGCAAAACAACAGTTTTGCTTATTCAACAAATATTTATTGAGAACTTTCTCTAAAATAGATGTTAAAGTATTAGGAAAACAAAATGGAAAAGTTATTTCAGACCTCAGAGTCCTGGTGACCATGTGTGTATTTACATAACACATTACAGTACACATTGTGCAGTGAATACTTCCAGAGAAAAAAGTATACCAGTAGTGTGAGTCTCGGGAGTCAGTCAACCCAGCAAGAAATGAAACTTCTGCACCCTGCTGCATTTGCCATACTAAACTAGTGCACTTCACTGGTACTGGTATAAAGCACCAGCCCAAATAGTTGTGTTTTTGGACCTATGTTTTCTCAGTTGATGTACAATAATTCACTGTTCTGAGTTAAGTGATCTCATTCCAGAACATAGACAAAGAAAAGGTAATCGCTTGACATATTAAAACCAAAAGATTTAATTGGGCGTTTAAGAAGTGACTCTAAGACCAGGGTTAAGATTTGGTTTAGCCAAGATATTTGTAGAACCAAACCTTTTTCCTCTGAACTCAGCACTTCTTGGGCAACAGTCTTCTCACTGGGGTAGCATGCAAAGTGGCTGCATACCCAGGTGAGAGAACCAGCTAAGACTAACGGAGGCAGCAGAGGTGACCTCAGAAGCCATGTGCTTGGTACGCAGGAGAGATGCAGACCTCCACTGGGTTCTCACTGCACAGCCCCCAAGGCGCCGGAGCACACCCCTGCCTGCAAGCATTCTGGAGAGACCTGATTCAGAAAGACCTCAGTCTTCCTGAGTTATCCTTGAGGAATTACCTGCTCTCCCAAGGGTGAACCCAAGGAGTTAAAGAAAAGTCAGTGTGTTTGATAATTTTATATTATGACCCATTTTTCCCTTCTAGTGTATCTGAGAACTGGCAGGAAGTCATTCTAAAAAGAAAAAAGCATTAAGGGCAATAGTCCTTTATTGTTTCCTTTTTTCCTGAGTTTTTCAAACTCTGGCCTCGCACACTAACCAGGCAGGTGTTGTGCTGCTGACCTACATCGCTAGTCCAGTAATAGCCCTTTTGATCGAATAGCCAAATCCTTACATGAAAGTAGAGCCCACGATCGAACTGCCAGAAACTTGAATACTATTGTGGGTTTTCTTCCCTCCTGCCCGGAGTTGAAGGGGAGAAGGAAGACATCATCTGATTTCTGTGACTGTCTGAAATGGTGCCCATGTTACGGACATTCATTTGCACGATGAACATACTATGAATTTTTCACAAAATATTTCACTGTAGTGATGTGCAAAAAGCTTTGGGGTTGATGCTCAGGTTAGAGGATTCAGACCAGACAAGGGCATATACCAGGTCTCACATACTACTCTTTTCAAAACAGACCTATGCCCAGATGGCAAGCTTGAAGAGGCTAGATGTGGTTCAGAACAAGTGATGCACCGAGCCTTGATATTGAAAAGACAAGCACAAGTCCAGGCTGTGATTGCCGCCAGCCTGTAATTTATGAGAAAGGAATCATAAAATCAATTTTACTGTAATGCAGAAAGATGAGATGACACACAAATTGACTATCTCTGATAAAGCTTTATTTCAAAGCCCCGAGGATAAGATTCATTTATGTAATAACATGAGAAATGTATTCTTCACTCCATTCACAAGTAGAATAAGGGATAGCGTTTAAATTGATTAGACTTTTCCCAAGGGAAAAAGGATGATGTTTTCTAGAGGGAAACAAACTGTTTTTTAAACATTATTCCCTGTTCAAAATATGCTTTTTTACCTGTCTCTATCCTGTCGCTCTTAGCAACAAAGTAGCACGTCAGAACATTTATGGTTCTGTAGCCTGTGTTGGCTGCTTCCATGCGTGTTCTGTGATCTTTAATTTCATTCTGTTTTAGAAAAGGTTATAAAATAGATCATCTTTTTCTTAAGCTCTATTGGTGTTTGGTTTTAGAAAGCATGTACTCTGAGGTTAGAACTGTTACTGTCCACATGCCTTGAACTCTTTGACAAGAAGCTGGCTTCATTTTATAAAGCATTTGTTTTCTGTAAGAGAATTCTATAATGTAATAGAGTTTTAAGTAAACCTCTCCCTGGAAACACTGTTGGCAAAAGCATATGTGACTCATTGAAATTTGGGTTCAAAACCACATCCTAAAAATAAAAGCTAATAAAAGCAAATATGTGTAGCATTTTCTGGCATTTTTCTTTAGATCTTGATACTGAAATAAAACTAATTCTGCACAAGCTCTTAATGGTGGAAGTATTTTCATGCATAGCATGTTATATAATTAACATTCATTGAATCCTGAGTATTTCAAAGGAAAAGCTGATACACATCTTCAGCATAGTGTTGCTCATTATCATTTTTATTTCAATGGAAAGAAAAAGACTAGGGAAGTGTAATTAATTTGGCATAGATAATTCTGGGCGGAGCACTGCAGCAGCAACACCATTTTAAGGTTGCTGCATTATTAGAAACTTGTCCTCATTTTGCAGCTTGCTTTTGCAGTACTTTCTGATACTCGACCATTATATTTTGGCCCTTCCTCCAGCAATCTGTAATCAGCCACTCAACTACCATTAACTTCTTGGAACAAAACCCTCACTGTCAGACTCACTTGATTAAAAAAGATGTTGCATAGGTGCAGATACTCTTTGTACTGATTCCTGGGTTATTTTTAGAAAGATCTTGCAAGTTTCTTGGAGCCTGCATTATATTCTTTATCTGAAAACTCCTCAGAATCCTCACATCACCATGAAAGGTGATCCCTGCCTCTTAACAATGATTTTTTAAGAAAAGATTTTATAGAAGCAGCAAAGCTGCTCTCAGCACCTCTTTTCATTAAATCTCTGACACCAGAGGCTACTGACACTTACACAAAGGTAGACCCTATTGTCCTGATAGGACTTTCCTAAATGACCCTGCTTGGTGTGGAAGAAACTTCCTAGTTGGAGAACAGTGAAGCTGAATACATGGCAGGGCTGTGGCGTGGCCTGGGCATGATTGAGCCAAGAATGAGGAGACGTCTCAGGTGGCAAGACAGGCCACAGCTAAGGCCACCTGGAGACTTTCTGGATAGTTTTCCTTAATTAGCATTATCCCTTGCTCTGAGGGGCCTTTGAACCTCTCCCAAGACCCTGCTCAGGTTTCCTCCATTGTCCACTCAACCCCTTGCTTGTTCTGATTAAATACAAGCTGCCTAGCATCAGTTGGCCAGCTGGCCAGCAGAGTTAGGGGCTCTGCTGAGGATCTCACTCCTCCTGCAGCCCTAAAGACCATGCCGTGTGTCTCATTCCTTTGAGCCTTTGCCATGCACCTGTTTGGGGGGTTGGGGGTCTAGGCACAGACCTCAACACTAATTAGGGACATTGGACAGTCATTGAGCACTGTAGTCATAAATATTCAAGTCTGAGGTCCAAAATGTATTAATACAAGGATGTGGTAACATCACCCATGGCATTCAACAAATACTAAGCTCTGTGTGGCTCTGACTAGGAGAGATTCCATAAAGTTCCTATCAGTCTGAGGTTTGCTTTTCAAGATAGAAGGGGTAAAGCACATTGTGTGTTATGCTGTTCTTCACTTCTAAGCCCACTTTTCTGTCTTCTGCTTTGTGTTACTGAGCTAGATAGGATTCTACAAACTAGATTTTTTTCTTTCACTAGTTGTCAATTAGCCTTGGC